AGACTGTAGATTCCAAGAGAAATTAATTGATTTTATTGAGAGAAATTGTATCATATTAAATATTTTTTAACTTTGACGTCATATTCAAAAACATGGATAATGGATACTTTTTTTTAAATTGCGGGGGAGTATTAAGAGTGCTTGTCAGCAAAAAATAGAATTATATAATTAAAAATGTCGTCAGCATCAGATTGATACATTAAAAACAGCTGATCCGTTACATATTATCCGATCATATATTTCAGTTAAAAATAATCAAACTTAAAAATCAAATTCTTTAATTCTTAAAACCAAACAGTGATAATATATACGCAAATAAAACACTCACCTGCAAGCTCACCCAGGGTGAGTTGAACATCTGCTCGGCAATATCCTGGACCAGCTTAGCCTCCTCGTTGCAGGCCTTGCTGCCTATCCACACGTATACAATCCCCGACTGCGAATCGTCCTCCGTTTCAAATGGCACATGGAGTATATAGCTAAAAATAAAACAAAAATAGTATAAAGCTTTTTCTATACTCAGAAAATTTAGATGGGTTGGTTATCTTTGAACATTAATACTGGGACATATCTTTTGAGCTTCAAGGAATTTCAGTTACTAACAATGATAAGACAATAGATAAGCAGGTCTTATGAGTTGCGCATTAAAATGTCATATATTATATAAAAAAAAACTCCCTCTGTAACCATTAGTTTGGTATTTAAGGGTAGTAGGAATGCACTCACCAGAAGGCCGAGTTAAGATGCACCGCATCTGGATTGATTTGGATTAGGCGCGTGGTCAGCGCACCACCGTTGGATCGCAAATGGAAGAATTCCACGGGCGCCTTTCCCTTCGGCATGAGCGCCTTGTCCTTCCGCTTGCCGGTGTGGATGATGAATTTGCGCTTGAAGTGCGACATAAACTTGAGGTTCTCCTGCTGCTGGAAGATCCGCACCACCTCCAGTTCCTCACCGAACATTGCCTTGAATTTCTTCTGCAGCGTAAAGGTAAACGTGAGCCATCCCATATTGCCGGCATTGCGTCCCTGCCAGAAGTAGACGACGCACTGGATCTCGTCCTCTGGCTGATTATTTGCGCTGGATTTACTATCGTCTGCGGCTGGGTTAGCACCATCTTCGGTGCCATTTTCGGGCTCCTCAATGGGTATGCAGTAGCGACAGAGGAAGACGTAGCATTCGCCGGTGTAAAAGCGACCCAATTCCTCCTCCGGCAGCCGGACAAACTTCTTGTTCTCCAGCACAAAGGCCTCCATCATCTCCAGATCGTAGTTCCACTCCTCCTCCAGCTGTTCCGCCTCGGCCAAGGGCATGGCCGACTGGCGTGGCATGAACAGTGCGGCAAGATCCGTACGCGTCTCCTGCTGCCTGGCCCACTGTGTGAGATTTGCCCCCGTCTTGGCCACCGATTTGGCTGTCCGTGTAAAGTCCACGGCCATCACCTCATCCCAGCCAGCAAATTTGGTGCGGAAGATCTGCATTTCGTTGCCCTCGGGCACACGCATCACCAGCGCATATTCCGGCCGATCCATCATGTTGAAGAGCTCCCGGCTCAACTTGACGGCGGCCGCTCGGACCAATCGCGTCGACTTCTTGCCAAACCAAACAAACAGATCCGTATAGCAGTCGAGTATATAGACGTGTTTGCTGTTCAGCAAGGTGTGGCAAAGTTTCTGCTCAGGTAACTCCACTTGCGGCAGCTCCAGATAACCCATGCCCAGTTGCACCTGGTAGAGGCGAGGCTGCACCGGCTGATAGTCGTCGGGAACGTGTTCCTTTGGTGCCTCTGCGGCGGCACCTTCCTCCGGTGACATGTCCAATCCCAGCCAGAATTCCGGACTCTCTTCGCCCTGCCGCTCCAACTGGATTTCACACTTGTTCTTTCGCTCCGTTTTGCTTATCTTCTCCGCCATTAGTCTGGCCTTGGAGTTGAGCGTATTCTTCGATCTCTCGCCCAGCCAAATGTAAATGTGTGTGCCCAGATCGAGGACAAAGGCGTGGCGGGGATCCAAGGAGGTAACGACCGGAGCCACAGGCTCCAGGTGTATTGTGGCACCATAGGCATGCACTAAATACAATCTAGTGATATGTATCATCTCCTCGATGGTATAGAAACCAGTCGCCGTCCGACCGCCCTCGATGTAGATGACTTCCGTTTCGAAAAGGGCCAAAAACTCTTCGGATTCGTCGCCCTGTTCCTCGCGAATCGTTCGACACCGGGCGCCCAGAAAGTTCCTTAGGTTAACTGCATGAATGGCAGCGCAAGCTCGTTTGTCCAGTGTGGCCTCGTTGCCGATCCAAAAGAATATCTCCCAGTCGAGCAGGCCCAGGTCATCGAATTTGGTCTTGAGGACTATGTAGCAATCGCCCTCGTAGAATTTGCCATGCACCACCTCCTCGATTTTGTTGGGCAGGAAGTTTTCGATTTCCCAGATGGTCAAGCCCGGCAGCTGACCATCGTCCTTCTCGAAGAACTTGGAGTAGTCCAGTTGCGGCTTCTCCAGCGACTCGTCCCACCTCTTTGGTTTGAGGGACTCCGGTTTTCCGTCCTCGGGCAGGGCACCGGCCTCGTTATCCTTGTCCTTGGCCACATCCTTCATGCCCTTGAGCACCTTGGCAGCATCCTGATCGCCTTCGCTGCGGGGACCGCGTCTTAAGCGGATTTTCCTTGCCGTCGAATCCTTGGGCGTGGCTGACGCTGGCATTGAAGGTGGCACCGCAGCCCCAGCTAATCTCAGCTGGGTTTGCAGACTAAAATCTATGTTGTAGAACTCCAGACTGGTGGCTTTACTCGCTTCGCTTGGCTTGGGTGGCATCACTAGCTCCGGATTGTTGCGCAAGTCCAACTGATCCAGACCCTCGAGCAGGTGAATGGCATCGGGCAGGGTGATCAGCCGATTACAGCTCAGATTGAGCTGTTTTAGAGCACCGCATCGGCAGAGTCCCTCGGGCACCATTTCCAGCAGGTTGTTGGCCGCCGAAAACACCTCCAGAGCACCCAGTTTGCCAATGCCCGAGGGTATGCCCTCGAAGTTCAGCTTATTGTCGTTCACCAGCAATCGCCGCAGCTTCGGCAGTTTGCAGAGGGCAGCGGGCAGGGTCACCAGTTGATTCCGCGATAGATTCAGCGATTCCAGACGCTGCCACAGCTCCACGCCGGCACTAAGTTCGCTCAGTTCGTTGTCGCTTAGATTCAGCCGCACCAGGGAAACCACATTGTAGACACAATCGGGCAACTTGGGCAGCGAATTGTGCGACAGGTCAAGCTCGCACAGATTGGTCAGACTATCGAGGCTGGTGGGGAAGTTTAGAAGCGTACGCTGGGTGCCGCTCATCTTGAGGACCTCCAAACTTTGCAGCGAAGGCAGCTGGCGCAGTTGGAACAACTCCAATGGATTGTGCGACAGGTCGAGGGTCTTCAGATTGATCAGACGTCGGGTCTGGGGCGGCAGTGTCTCCAGTCGATTGTGCGACAAATCTAGAAACAGCAGATCCGTGAGGTGGATGAACAGCGGCGTGGGTATGCTCTCGATCTGATTGTTGCTCAGGTTGAGCACAATCAGGTTCTTGGCCCGCTCCAAACCCTCCGGCACCTCCTTCAGTTTGTTGTGCGACAGGTCGAGGGTGGTCAGCTCCTCCAGATGGAACAGTTCCGGCGGTATGCCGCTGTTTTTCAGCTGGTTGTGCCGCAGGTCGAGGGAACGCAGACAGGTCAGCTCCGTCAGCTCGCCGAAGATCTTCTCCAGGCGATTGTGGTTCAACGACAGGTGCTCCAGCTTCTGCAGATGGCCCAGCTCCTCGGGAATCTCGGCCAGCTGCGTGCGATCCAGGGTGAGCCACTGCACCCGCGACATCTGCCGCATGGAGCTGGGGAATGTTGCCTGCAATATAATCGATCATAACTTGAGGATTATCTCTGTTTCGACTTATGACTAATGCCCAGGTTTTTCGTGTGTGTGCTTTTCGGTGACCTGTTTCGTTGCTTTTTTTTTTTTTTTTAGAACCGAACCCCCCAAAAAACAACAACAGTTCAGGGCTGATTTGTTTGTTGTACTCACGCTGAAATCATTTTTCGTAAAGTCCACACCGCGCACGAACGGCAGCACGCTCATTTTGACCACATAAAATGTTATATTTGTTATATATTTGGGCTCAAGCTGCTGGCCCTGTTTTTCGTTTCTTCTTCTTTATTTTGTTTTTTTTTGCACTAAAAAAAAGAAGAGTAGTTGGTGACCGTCCGCCGTTCGGCCATGCAAACGGTGTGTCTTCTGGCCTCCCCTTTGTATGCAGTTTGGTGATCTGGTCACTCTTAGCACTCAGCCGTTAAGTGCTGTGCATTAGCCAACACTGGAGTGTTGGAAATCACGAAAAACACACTCGCGTCACATTCTATAGAACGAATTGAATTTAATTCGAACAGATTTGTCAGAGAAGTCTATCTTTTTGCGGTCGAAAATGTTTTGAAAAATTAACATTTATATTTGGCATTATTTTCTTTGCTGTCATTTGTTCTTTTTCCCCATTTTAATGCTTATTCTGCATGACTTCTAACTATTTAGCCACCACTGTACCAAATCAGGGTGTAAATTTAGTGAGACCCTTTATGGATTATTAATTCAAGCTTGTTTTTAAATATATCGTTAAAAACGCAAATTCATTTTTAAATTAACGGAAAATTATTTACTATACCATTTCCTGTCCAATAAGAAGGGAAAGGCAAAAATGAATAATATGTTTATTTGAAGTATAAAGAGTATTCCGTTTAAGTTCGAATACATATTTTAATTATGTCTGATTTTAATAATATTGTGAAGTTCAGAAATTTAAATTGAACAACAATCGTCAATATAAATTTTTAGTAATATTCAACACCGAATCAAATCGGTCTTAGCGATTTTAATTATAAAATTATAGGTCGTTTATGGGAAAACTTCAATGTTATTGTCATTTTTAGTGAATTCTCTAAACCCTTTGGTGTACGTTTACTCGCTGAAGGCGGTCACACTGCTGGGGGTTCGGGTTTGTCGGAGGGTCCTTTTCGTCCTGCGAAAAAAACGGCAACATCGTGTGCATAATCCAGAGGGTGTGACCAAATTGAACGACACGAAATTTTCATACTTTGCCCAGTCTTCGGAATGTGAAGGTCCTTGCTCGAGTGTTGTGTTGCCTTTTCTCTGAAATTGCAAAAACAAAAAGTCAAATCAAGCTGAACCAAAAAACATTGCAAGTTTATTGCATTCAAAAGAAAGACGCGTGGGCCAGATAAAGTCGAATTAGCAAGTTAATTAATAAAACGGCCAAAGTCTGTCAACTGGAAAAAGTGCAGCAAAAAGTAATAACTTTGAATTTTTGCCGAGTGACTTCTTTCGGGGCTTTGTTTGTTGTGGAAAATTGTGTACCTCCAAAAATAGGGAGTGTTTTTTATTTGGCGTTCGTCACAATATTTAAGGCTTGACTAGTTAGCGAATTAAATAAATGCCGTTAAACTGTGCGTGATTGTGTGTGTGTTGTTGTTACATTTTAAGTTGTAAAGCAAACGCACTTTGCAGTGCGTGTGTGTGTGGGTGGAGGAAAATGATGGAAAAGGGGGCGGGGCAGCGGAAAGTGGGCGCAGCAATTACGAGAGAACTGCCAAAAAGGAATAAGGAACAAGGAAGAGGAAGCAAAGGCAAAAGCAGAGCGAACTTTTAATCAATAGATATACAAACGCACGCGCAGCCGCGTTACCGTTACTCGCACTCGCGAGAGTTGTTGTTGTTTCACTGGACGAAACGAAGCAGGAAGAGGAAGACAAGTGAACAAAATTGCTATTGCGCTGGGCAGCATCGTTCGTTCTCAATCAAAATCTAGAAAAATTAATTAAAAAAGCAGCCGCGGTCACCAATCGCTCCGCGGAAATCGTTTGGCAAAATGTAAATGCGTTAGCCGGCGGTCCGTGATTGTTGTTTAATTAAAAAGTTTCTGCAAATGTGGGGGCAACCTACTTATTGAGCAATTAAGGCCATGCCCACGCATGCACGCCCACACGCCCACTTATGTATGCGTGTGTGTATGTGTGTGTACATGCAGGAGCCGTTATTTCGAGTGTGCCAGAAAGTGGGGTTAAAATCGCTGTCGCAGGATCCTTATCCCTATAGAGCAGGAAGAAGAAGAACACAGGTTCTTCTTGCATATTTCATCGAGTCCATAAATTATCACGTAGTCAATGAATTCAGGGGTGGAAAACGTAATTGCAATTTGGGTTTTTTAAATTTGCAATGGGATAAAACTGTTACTGGCTGTAAACTGTATTTTCAAATGCACTTTCAATATGCTACTATTAACAACAATTTGTCTGTGAATTTAGGGCTTGAACAACCATGTTTAAAATTTGAAGCTCAAAATTAAACAAAACTCTTGTCAACAAAGATCTATCCTTAAAAAAATTACAGTTACCAAGTAAATCATTTTAATGATTTTTTAAACTATGTTTAGAGTAATTATCACTGTGTAGGACAGTCCAGTGACGAAATGCGCCAAGAGTGCTCAAGCATAGTTACAAATTTAAAACTTTACAATCCATTTTTAAAATCTATTTTAAAAATTTAAAATTGTTGGACAAATTGTTTTAACGCTCATTTAAATAAATAATGCAATCTAATCATCAAAATTTCAATTTTAGGTAATCGGAAATTTACAATCATAAAAGACTACAATTATTTTTCGATTAAAGTTCTAGTCTGCTGAGAATATAAAGCTTTTAAAGGTCAAACCCTTATCTGTAGCAAGTAAATTTATTTTAAAAGAGAACTTTGAATAATAGAATTGTTTACAAGTGTGTTTGAACATACAAAAAACAGAATAATATTTTTGTTGACTTTAAAAACATTAAGTAAGTCAATTCAACTGCAGAGAATGTAATACTTTCATTTGTTTTGTATTCCCAAACGACCCATTTAATATTAAGGTACAAAACGAGCACGCTGTGCCTGACAAAATATAAATTAATTAAAAAATGTACACTACTGGTTACTTAATATGGTTTACCCACCCATTTTCTTCACCCTTTCTTTAGTGCACGGCAATTTGGATTCGGTGTCAAGAGGTTAGGAAACTCAGGCCCGTGAGCACGTAGCAGGAAAACCCAGCAGTAACGAGGGAAAGGAGAACCGCCAGAAGCAACTAAACAAAGGACAGGAAGAGCAGGCACATAATCCAGAAGGGGAATAGCCAAGGAACGCAGGCCAGGATGGGCGACTATCACGAGTTCACGGACCAGTACAAGGTGCCGGTGATAGCGAAGCTACTGCACGCCCTACCCCATTACAACATCACGTTTCACAAGATCAACAGCACGTTCCGGCCCAACGATGAGATCTACTTGGAGGTGAGTAAACCCTAACCAAGCAGTCAGACTTCAATTGAAAAATATATACTTCCTATAAAACAAAAACCTATATTTTGTTTATAAACATTTGCGTTCTATTGAATACCGAACTGGTTTGCAAAACAGGTTTTCTTAACACCTTTAACTTCTTTGATCTATAATAAAAATAGTTAAATTAAACTAATAATTTTTTCATACTAATAGCATTATTTTTTTGTCTGTTTTTAATAAAAAGAAAACCTCATTCATTAGAACTAAAGATACAATTAGTAAATCATAATAAAATTACTACAACTTTGCCTTCCAATTTCAATTTGTTTGTTGTGCATTTTTTGTTATTTCTAATATATTGAAAAAATACATTTATTGCTGGAAGATATTCTTTACTATAATCCTATAGTAGACTAAGATTTATAGCATTCTTATAGTAGCGCGCTTAAAATAAACCACTAAATCGAAAACAAAAACAACGATTTCGAAAATCTGTATGTAATTTTTTGATTTTACTCCATAGAGCTTGGGCATTTTGGGCTCAGTTCCTGCTGCCCTGCTGATCGTCTCGCTGCTGGGACTACTTTTCTATCTGATGACGCGCTGCTGCGACCGGAAACCCCGGCCAGCCCACTCGATCACCAGCTTGAAGGTGGCCCTGTCCATCGTAACGGTCATGTGCTGCGCGGCGATTGGACTGGGATTGTATGGCAACGATGATCTGCACAACGGACTGCTGGAGGTGCTGACGGCGGGCAGAAAGGTGGACAATCTGGTGACCACCATCCGGAATCAGACGCACATCCTGGAGAACACGCTGACGAATCGCATACGGCCGCAATTGGTGGAATTGGCGGACATCTTTGACCAGCCGGTGTCGAATCAAACGGCGCTCTCAAAGCTTTTTGTATCGCTAAACATTGTCCAGGGGAATGTTACCTTGGCCACAAACGCAGCCAGCGATATCCGACGACCACTGATGGGCATCTCCATGACGCACTTTTTGACGGTATGTTATATATACATATATATGTATATATATTTTTACACATGTAGCTAAATTATGGCTTACTACATTGAAACCATTTGTGTTTTGTGTTATTTGCAGCGAGGCGACCAATGGGAACTGATTCGATGGCCGGGCACAGTGGCCACTTTGGCATTGCTACTTGTCCTGTGCGCCGTGCTGCTGGTGGGCGTGGCCCGGCACTCACGTTGCGCCCTAATCCTGTTCAGCGTCTGCGGCCTGCTGGCCGTCACCGGTTCCTGGCTGATGTCCGGTCTGTATCTCTCCTCATCGGTGGCTGTCGGCGATCTGTGCATCTCGCCAGCGGATTTTCTGGTTTCCACGGCACCCAGGGACCTGCCCACCAATGTCCTGCTGCACTATACCCAATGCGAACCGGGGCACACGAATCCGTTTACGCAGCGCTTGAGGGAATCACAGAATTCTTTGAACAACGCTCGCAGTGCCATGGCCACGGTAATGAAGATCTCGCTGGTGCTCTTTAAATCGTCCGGCTTGCAGCCGAAATTGGGTGCCGTGAATGCGGATCTGAATAGTAGTGAACGGCTATTGACCCAGCTGACGGCACTCGTGGACTGCAAGGCGGTGCATCATAATTTTCTGGCCGCCGCCCGGGGACTTTGCGAGGGTGGCCTACTGGGATTGGTCCTGATGCTGATAGCCAGCTTTATTGCGGCCATTTTGCTAACGATTATGGTTTGGGTGGACTCGCACACATGGATCTACATACGGAAGCGGAATGACTATGCCCAGGTGGATGAGCCATCGTATATATCGCATCCGGCACCGCAGAATCACCAGCAGATGATGAATGCCGCCAGGACATTGCCGCGAAATCACAATGGGTATGTTATTGGAAGATGATCCCCCCATCGTGACCCGACCCCCGCCCGATTCCCGCCTCCAATCTCTCGAACTCTCTCTCTCTCTGTTCTCTTTCGTCCCCTTTGCTCGGTTCTTGCGCCATATCTCCAAATTGCAGGCACTTCAGTCCGCCGGTGATCAGTGGCTCCCACACGCTCCAGCATCCCAGCAAGCGTCAGCAGCACGAGATGATGGCCCACGCCCACATCCAGCAGAACATGCGCGCTATGGGCACCCACACGCTGGGCCGGCTGCCGTCGCACAACCACAGCCCCACCCACATGACCGGTAAGTGGTGTGCCCCCCACCACCCACTCACGAAACTCAAAACTCGAAACACACACACCCACTTCTCTATTTGACTCTGCACTGGGAAAAAAAAGCGCTGTAAACTAATGAATTTATCATCAAAGTGCAAGGGCAAAACCATTGAAAGTAGTTTAGAAATACACAAAAATAATCAATTTTAAGTGCCAGATTTGTAGGCATTCAAATTATATTTTTTTTTTCCAAAGCTAAACAATTACACAAATTCATTTGGCAAAGGGGATAATCGAACTCGGTATTTGTTTCTTTTTTGCTGTGAATTTAAAAACAAAGAATGCAGAACCATATATTATCAAACATTTCAATCTCAATCGTTAAAAATTAACTTCTCAACAACAATTGTATATTTCAAGTAGAATAATTATAATACCATTCTTAAAACTACATTTTTGGAGGCGCTTTTTCTCTCAGTGTATGTGTACATCTATCTATATCAATCTTTGTGCCCATATGTGTATAAAACCAGGAGACCAAATTGAGCTTGTTAAAAATGTGTAATTTATTATAATTTTAGCTTAACTTTTTAGCCGTTTAAAAGTCGGTTTGTTGCTGTTTACAAAAGTCAAATTGTCAAATTGAACAAATGCTCAAAAATGACATTTATAATCGGCTTATAACCGATTCCCAACTAAGTTAACCGATTCGTAAACGGTGCAGAATTTAAGCTTTTTTTTAGATTTGTGAGAAAACGAAACGTTTCAGCAATTTGTAACTTTAAATAGCTCAATTCGCTCTCATCATGTACGTTTCTTCTATATAATCTCATTCCATGCATAATGTACGCGCCCATCCAACGATCCTCACCATAACCACACCATCGTTGGGTCGACAACCTTGCATCTTGCATCCTGCATCCTGCATATCCTGAATATCCTGCATCCTGCATCCACATCCTCCGCCCAACCCGCGCCTATTGCTAATCGTTCTGTGTGTGTGTGTGCATTTTTGTAGGTCCCAATAATGGTAAATATGCAACCCTAAGCAAACAATGCAAGACATTGGAAGCGAATGACTTTTACTGAAAACCGTCGCCACCCCCCGCAGCAGCAGCAGTCGCAGCAGCAGCTAACGCCGCCGCCAACATGCCGCCGACCACGCAGGCCGCCCAACAACAGCAACAGCAACAGCAGCAGCAGCAGCAACAGCAGCAACAGCAACAGCAGCAGGCACAGCAGCAATTAGGAGGACCACAGCCCATCTATTGCCATCATCCGCATCAGCATCCGCATCCCCATCCGCACCAGCATCCGCATTCGCATTCAGCCGCCGCCGTGGCCGCTGCAGTGCAGCACCAGCACGCGATCTACCATCAGCAGCAGCAGCAGGCGGCCCAGCAATATGGCACCTATACGACAGCGGCCCACCATGGACCGCATCATTTGGGGCCGGGCCAGAGTCAGATTTACCAGCAGATTCCGGCTCATTTGGCGCCGCAATTGGCTGCCAACGGGAATCCACATTCCATATACCAGCCGCTAGTTGCCGTCAGCCAGGGCTCCATATATGTATCAAATTTGGCCACAATGCGACGACAGAATAGCCAGGGTGGACCACAAATTCCGGCACATCAGCATCCACCCAGTTTGCATCAGCAGCAGCAGCAGCAACAGCAGCAGCAGCCACCGCCGCCATCGCAGCAGCAGCAACAGTTGCATCAGCTCAAGTCACCGCAGCAACATCAGCAGCAGCAATTGCAGCAGCAGCACCAGCAGCAGCAGCAGCAACACCACCAGCAGCAGCAGCAGCAGCATCAGCAACAACACCAGCAGCAACATCACCAGCAGCAGCAACAGCAGCAGCAGCAAAACGAATCGGATGTCATACCCATTAGCACGGCCATGGATAGCGCCATTTATGATCGGGACAAACAGATCTACAAGTGCTCCACATTGCGGCAGGGCGGCAAGTTTGATCCCAAGTACAAGCCATCGATACTCAATTGCCCGCTGCCGGAGATACCCAAGGATGCGGAGCAGCCCAAGGTGGAGTCCATCTACGAGCAGCGCCAGCAGGCCCACCACCAAAACTACTCCAAGTAGGTTTCGATTTAGATTTTTCTTTCCTTTATTTTTTCGTTGCTGACAAAATAACAACTTGAACTGCTAAACAAAATTGTGAATTTAATATAGAAGAACCCTGAAATATATAGATTATTTTTAAAAAAATTTAACAAAAAGCTGCGCAAAAACTTAGAAAAATATATTTGTAGATAGAGTTTGTTTTTTACTTTTACTTTTGACCAATTATTTAGTTCAATTTAATTACATATGTAAATAATTTTGAACATTATTAGTGCTTAATGTTATGGTTTTTCTATACTACTCGAAACATCTTACTTTTTTTACAGTTTTTTTCAATCATTATATTGATTAAATTAATAGTAATGCCATTTATGGATATCGTAACTTTTATTATTCAACATTTTTTGTATTTATATTTACTATTAGATTAAGAAACTGTTGATGTTACGTTTTATACTTTAGACAAATTTGTTTAAGGTTTATAAATTAAAGAAGCTTTAAGCTTTAAATAAGTATAATATTTATCTTTTGTTAATTTCAACAACATGTACATAACACATAACATTTTCATTAAAGTAACATTTGAAATTACTTTTTAACCATCACTTTTTACTTTACACAACTTTGCTTAAGGTTTTTTATTTTGAAGTGTTGTTGTTTTTTAGTACTCAAATTGAAAAACGAATTTGTAAAGCTTTGAAAGTGTAATGATGATTGTTTTATAGTTCTAATTGAATTTGTTCCATTCCGTTCAGGACCCTGCAGCGTCCGCCAATGAAATTGCCGCCGCAGATGAAGGCGATTCCGCCGCCGCGCATTGGCACGCCCACTTCGCCACCCCCGCCCGCCGGTCAGCCGCTGGGCGAGGCCAACGGTGGAGTACCATCTGGCCTCCAGAATGGAGGAGGAGGCGGCGGAGGAGTAGGAGGATTGGGCGGGGGAAACACCAATGAGGACACATCGCTGCCGCCGCCGCCGCTGGAGGCGCAAACGGAGGCGACAAAGGGACGAATGGGACCGGCGGCCAATGGCAAGGTCCTGCACAATGGCGGAGGAGGCGGTGGGGGCGTGGCCGGTGTGGGCGGAGGAACGGTGGACGATGATGATGACCTGCCGCCGCCACCGCCAGCGATAACCGACGAAAGCAACTATGCGGTAACGGAGTTGTAAGATGTGAATAGTGGATGATGGATGATGGATGATGTATAATGGATAATGGATAGCTAAAGCCAGAGAGAAACCAGAGAAAACCAGAGAACCACAGAAAAGTCAGGCAAAGAAATACAGAACAGGAATTGGTCAGGATTGACTTGGGATTGGGGCCGTCTTCCTAGAATTCGTGTAGGATAGATATACATATATATATCGTGAGGGAATGGGACTAAGGATTACTGGAGCGGCGAGTGTGTTCCTTCTTGATTTGTTGCATTTAACGTATCGTATCGTATCGTAATCGTATCCTAGACCGGAATCCTGCTTTTCGACTTTTGTACATACTATACACACACACACACACACACAGAACTATATCTAAACATTCAAACGAAATGGATATAAACACACAGATACTACATACACACGCACAGACAGACAGACAGACGGACATACAATATGTAACATATATCAGCGATCTATTACTTATATAAATATAAATCCATTTAGGACACGGTTATTCCTTTTTGATAATAGCATATTTTTACCAATTTTAAAGCGCTAAATTGTCGAAAAGAAACAATTTTATGGGGGCTAACTTATTGTATTATACAACATTAATCTATAAAAAAAAAATATATATATATATATATAAATTGTATATCCTCTACAAGCAAAAACAGAAAAAAAAGAAAAAAAGAAAAGAAACCATACTGGAAACAAAAGACCGACACTTGAACCTAAAAACCAACCACCAAATAATGAAAATCGAATTCGGATCGTAGGCCATAAGTTCTAGAATCGAACTGTAGTAGAAACGTTAGCAAAGATTTTTTAGGCACTTGTCGGGGAGTCAATTTTTAAGTAGACAACGGGCAACTGAATGGATGGGCAAATGGGCGTGGCATGTTTTTTTATTTGTTTTTTCGAAAAATTTTGAAATATATGTATTTATTTATGGATTGAAATCTCTTACAAACCCAAAATCAAAACTAGATTAATTTTGCAATCGTTTTATCTATTTCTGTGGCAAAACTGAACTTTTATTTTTAATTAATCTGGGAAGTTTTAACACTTTCTTAAAGGTTTTTTTTTAAGTTGAGATAAGCTAACAAATTCTTTTGAATTTTCTATACAGATGTGATATTCTGAACTCTAGTCATTTTAATGTTACTGAACTCTCTCAGATGGCATTCCAAATTACAATTTAAATATATTTGTTTTTTTTTTCTAAATGATCATTTACTTATACCTACGTTTTTATGGCCTAAGTTCCTGACTGATTGCATTTATACCTATGTACTCCTAAAATAAATGTTTACAAAAGTGAATAATAATGTTTTCAAAGGATTCCATAATCCTTGTTTTATGTTATAAGAAATTAGAACCGATATGACCTCGAGTATGCCAAACTTACATTAGTCAATGGACGATTATTTAAACACTCCACAAACACGAACTGCTATTGTTAAGACCCCGAATCTAAAATCATCGACCCGTAAACCCCAACCATTCAGACGGTTGTCCCGTTTAGTGCTCGATCCTGTCCTGGATCTGGGTTGTGCTGCGGACGATCCCAAACACACACACACACAAAGGATCGTCCGGGACTGGCGGGCTAAATCGATCGAGGATTTGAGCCTGCGATTTTATTGTGTATCTAACCTAAGCTTAACATGGAATGCATTTATTAAAACCTAACATTAACAAAGATATATGTAGATATTTAGTGGGCTAACTGTATATTAAGTAGCTAAACAAAAGGCATATAGTTTATAGCGTAAACAATAACCAAATAGATGAGACATTTATTGGTTGGTTGTAAACGGTGCAGCTGTTTGCGGCCAGCTTAACATTCGACTTGGCATGGAACCGATAGCAATACAAAAACTAACACAAAGTACTGCCCCCCCAAAAACAAAAACAAAAACAAAAACAACCGACAAAATGAAACCAAACTACAAAAGTTATATAGATATATACACACGCGATATATACACAAATAGATATTATAAAAAAAAAAACAAATAGTTATAGACAAGATACATAAGCCTATCGACAACTATATACCAGCAAACACACAGCAAGAATAATCGAAGCATTTTTAGAGGGATTCCCGCAGGCCAACTTTAAATGGACGAGGCCAAGGACACGGCCAATCAACTAAGTCGACTTAAACGAACCCCGAACACTGAACACTGAACACTGCCCACACAGCGAAAGTTCTCAACATTTACCGATCTAGCCATAATATCTATATATATATATATATATATATATATATATATATACACTTAACGAACCCTAACTAGAGCGTACTCTCATTGAAATGATCAATTGTAAGATATTAACAATCGGGTACTCAAATCGAAATTAATTCAATCGTAAAACACAAACGACATTTTTAAAGTAAATATGTAAAGATGGTGTAAAGAAAAACTGAACAAACTAATCAAGTTTTTTATTCGCTTATTATACAATTACCGGTTATAAAACAAACATACAGACCTTCTCAAGGGGTCATCGAAAGTATATAGCAACAAACACTGAATCGAATCCTTTAAGGATCCAAAAAACAAGAAATCCCCCCCCCCCAAAAAAAAGTACCAAATAAAGCCATTGGAAGATACCGAAAAACCAAAAAACCCCTTGGGAAGCAGAGTTTTTGATCATGGAAGTTTCGAGCCTGGATTGAAACTCTATATACACGTACATATAAATATAACACAATTAGTTCGTAAATATATTTCTGTGTTAAATGTTGTCATCGTACGCGTTGTAGTTATTACAAAAGAAAATCCTTAAAAAAAAAAAAAAAAACGCAAAACCCAAAAGAAGCCGAACTCAAAATACACAAAAATTGGCAGAAAGAGATTCAAATCGAAATTTTTTCGAAAGCTCAACGGCAGCAGCAATAAGGCAAAATAGAATCCGAGTTGTACAACATATAGTATGCATAGTTAAAGTAAATGTAAAAAAAAAACAGAGGCATAAATCGAAACGCTTAGTGGCATATTAATAAACGAGTAAAAATAAAAAATGAATAAAATGACAAAAAGTAATTCTAACGAATTGTAAGAAACGTTTAAAATTCTTGTAATAAGTACGAAATATTAAAAATCTACTAAATAAGTGAGTTCCAGAAACCACTTTCGCCCCGTTTATATTTCGGAATAGTTACGAAAAGCGGGGAAAACAAAGCTTCTGGAATCAAAAAAAAATATTTTATGCGAAAAATCGAAATGAATCGGGAAATGAAAAACCCAGATTTCCACGAAATGAAGACAAATTTCTTTCAAAAGCAAACAGCGGCCGAGTAAAACGCTAAAAAAAAAAATTCAACAAAAATATTAAATAAAATAAAAATATAAAATTTAATTGCATTAGTTAGATGGAGAAATTTTGTTTTTTATTGGGAGCCAATAAATTAATAAACATTGAAGGTAGGTTGGTTTCGAAACACCCTATCGCCATCAATTTAGGGAATTATCGAGGTAATCAACAAGGATTATGTAATTATTTAATATCTGAAATTTTCGGAATTTTTTTTATTAAACACCTAAAGATTATTTTAGATTTAAGGGAGGGTAATATATTGACAGCTCTCTTAAACGTAAATGGATAATAAATTACCTATAATTTAAAAGATTTCAAATAATAATGTTTCTTTTTCATATTTATTCTATAGATTAATAAAATCATTGATATCATAATCATTATCGATATCATAAATTAGTGGTTTGTCCATCAATTAAAACTATCAGCGTTTCAAGCAGAACAAATTTTGGTATCATTCTTTGCGGAAATGCCTGGGTAGGATAAGATATACCTAATCATACACAAGCGAAAGGGTATAAAAAAACACATGATCTCTCTGTCTAAATTACTTCACATTTTATTTTGTATAGTTTTTTTTTTTTGTTTCTTTTATCATATTTTTTGTGCAGATTTAGCTTTCTTCTTGTATCAGCAATTTGTATAATAAATATATTTTTGTCATTTTGTTATATTTTTTTCTTTTGAATTTCTTTAGTTTTTTTTTTTTTTGTCACTTAGCTTCTTAACAAATAAGAATAGCGCAATTTATTGCTTTGCACAATTGAACATTGAACAATTGCCTATGTATATATTATCTCTCTCAAAGGTACTTGCATCTGAATAATAATTACAAATAGAAATAAAAAAAAAAGTAAAATATTACAAAAAATATAAGTGAAAGGGGGTTACAAATTCCGAGCATTTTCTTTCGGAGCAGAGACAACAACAACAATTATGGGAATAAAGTAAAGTATAATAAGATAAAATAATATAATATATAATAGAGATATATGAAAGATCATAGGAATAGCAATATATATATATATATATATATATATATATAAAAGCAATTAAATTGGATTTTGTGTTATCATCATATGGGGCGAACAATCATCTTCTTTGGAATTGTTTTGTTTTCGTTTTTTCTTTTAAGTAGGAGGAGGTAAAATTAAGCCTTCTATTATATATGGTATGCTGTTCTGTGTTCCGATTCTTGTCTACATTGTTTTTTTTCTGTTGTGTTTTTTTTTTTTTTTTTTTTTTTTGTTAAGCCTTGTTTGATATTGCTGCTTTTTAAGGCCTCTCCCACTCTGAAATCCATTTTGCTGGCTCTGCCTTGATCTAAAAGTTATTTCCGCTGTTCATCTATAGGTAAGGTATTTTGAATTATTATACTTTTGTTAATTATTGTTAATTGCACTGTTGGCGGCCACGAGTTCGGGAACATTGGAGGAGGCGGCACTGCTCTGGCTAACAGTGCGGGCATGATCCGCATCCACATGGTTTTGTGTGCTCGGTGTCGCACCCGAAGCTACCGGAGCTCCCGAAACTCCCGATTCCGAAGCATCCGGCGGCTGAGCTTCGACCGAAGCGACTGTGGCCACAATTGATGATCCGGGCACGGGCTCCACTGTGGGAAAGACGGGCGGCGACGAGGGCGCGCCCACGGGCGTCTGCACCATGGGCGTGGGTGGCGAACGATTCGCCGGCAACTGATGGGCAGTGGCTCCAGTCATCTGCATGTGGTACCTATTTTTTTTTAATAGTTAGATTACGATTATTAACCAGTTAGCAAGAGAAAGAGAGAGAGAGAGAGAGAGAGAGAGAGAGAGAGAGAGAGAGAGATAGAGTGAGATAGAGTGAGATACGCACTTGTAAATATTCTCGGTGCTCTCGACCACACCCTGGGTGAGATTGAGGCTGCGCCCCTTGATGCCCGACTCCTTGGCCGGCGGTGACCACCAGTTGAAGACGCGCCCCACCACAGGCACATGCCGCAGGATGCCCTCCTGCCAGAGTTTCTCCTCCGACTCCCGCTGCAGATCCGCAGTGACCGCCTCGATGCCCTGAAATTGGACATTTCATTACCACAACTGATGGCACAACAGACACACAAGGAACCAAAGCCCACCTTCTTGACAATCTCGGACATGGTGTCCAACACGCGCGAGTTCTCCTGCACGCTCTTGCCCACGGTGACCACCAGATCCAGCAGCTCCTCGACCTCCGTTTCGTGGGTGACCATGCCGAAGCGTACACAAATCAGGCCATCGGTGCCCTCGCCCAAAGAGAAGGCATTGTCCGTGGACTTGAGCGCCTCCACCAGATCGATGTTGAGCTTGTTCAGCTCGGTCTTGGCCTGGTCCGTGAGCAGGGACTCCCAGCCCTCGGGCACGAAGCGTACACCGCCCATGCCCGCCCATTCGGGCAGCGGTACGAGACGCAGCACCTCGCTGCGCTCCACCAGATGCATGAAGCGTGCCTTGTGCTTAATTGTCGCCCGTAGGATGTCCACATGCGCCTCCAAACTCTGGGCGAAACTCTCCAGATTTTCCGAACTGGGCGGCTGCTCACCCAAGCCCAATTCCAGCGGACAGTAACGGATGCAGCTGCCGTGCGTCGGATGCTCAATCACCTCGAAGTCAAACTGTAAGCACATGTCGTTCGATTAGCCAACATAACATAACCAATTAGGATTAAATTCATATCAATTACATTGGGACAGTCGCGTTGCAGGATCTGACCCAGCCACGAGTTGAGGCGATCAAAGTAGGAAGCATTGTTGATCTTCTCCAGCGGCTTGAGGCCATCGGCCATTGTTTCCCGCTCGGCGGCGGCTGCACTGCCCCCCAGTGGAATGGTGGTGCTGCCATCAAACTGGTAAGCAACCACAGGGGCGGCGGCATCAAAAAGCGCCTGCACATCGAAGGGGCTCTGTATAATGTCCGACAAAGAGGCTCCGGTCTGAGCTCCAGGCGTATGGCTCTGCAAATAGTCATTGCTCAGGAGTGATGATGTGCCCAAAGTGCAAAACAGAATGACTCACCAACACCCGGATGCCCTCGCACTTGGAGGCAATCTCGAAGAGAATACTGCACGTCTGGAAGGCCACATGCAGGCGCTCGGCAATCGATTTGCGTCCCAGGGCCTGCAGACTGGTCCACAAAGACAGGGCGTTCAAGCGACGCGACAGTATGGGATCGGATTCGAAGGCACTCAATGCGCTATTCTGGAGCGGACGGTGCAGCAGGACGATGGGCAGACTGGGCACACCCAGCCAGCTGCCCAGATTCAAGGCCATCGAGTGGAGCACCTCCTCCACGTGGCCCTGATTCTGGGCACAGACCAGGGCGGCCAGGCCATGGCCACTGGCATGCAGCCACATGTTGTGCGCCTTGCAGACGTCCCTCAGTCGCAGCAGATTGTCCACATAGCCGCACAGCGAGGCACCAATGTCGGCCACCACCAGCAGCGGCGTCCTGTTGTTGCCCACATCCAGTTGGATTTGCTTCTGCAGCAGCGTCACATCCATCGTCCCATACTGGCTGTGCTCCGGAATGATCTTGATCGCCTCCAACGGTATGCCCAATTGGCGGCAGGCGTACTGCAGCCTCACCGGCGTCGTATTCTCCGAAATGTAGAACGTGGGCTGGGCCAACGCTGGTATGCCACCCTCCAGATAACCCGGACACCTGGCCACAATGGCCAGACGCACCGTACGCAGCACAGCGTCCGCATTGTCCGCATGAAAGCTACTGGCCGGATGGGCAAAGTGAAACAACGTGCCCAGCCAGCGGGTGGCATCGCCCGAAATGCTGTTCGTCACCCGGAGGAGCTGCTGGCGGTCCAGGTGCGACAAATAGGCCACGATGCTGTGCGAGATGAGGGCCAAGTGGGAGACATCGTCGAGGGCGGGCAGCGGAAATTCCGGATCGTCGTCGCTGTCCGTGTAGGAGACGAGTTGCTCCAGGGACTTCAGGATATCGGAGGGCACCCGATGCTCTGCCGGCAGATGGCAATGCAGCTGATCCTCAGCAGCCGCAGCTGCAGCCGCCGCCGCTGACGGCTCCTCCGGATTCTCATCGGAATTGGGATGATTCTCGGGCGTCGATGAAACCTTAACATTCTCCAAACGCTGCAGAACCTGCGAGGAGCGCAGCTCCAGCTCGGCCAGGCCAGAACGAATCTGTTGGATTGTACAGTTTTGGTTAACTTTAAAATGTAAACAACGGCAAAACCATAGAAGTTGACGTGTCTTCCGTCGTCGTCAGCAAAAAAAAAAAAAAGGAGAGAAGAGAGGAGAAGATAAAATGAGGAAAATTATAAAGCACTCACACTGGAGGCGGCGATTTCGGCCACCGCTGGCGTCGATTGTCCCGGATCCGGCTCATGATCTACGGCCGGATTTTGGCCGGGATCGTCGTCCGATCTGCCAGCCGCTGACATGTTCCAATGCGGTCTAATTCACTTTTAACTTATCGCCTGCGATGCAAAATAATTGTTGTTTTTCCACTGCGTCTGTATGTGTGCGTGTGTTTGGGTGTGTGTGTGAGCTCGAGGGTGTGTGTATGTGTGTGTGTGTGTGTGTGTGTGAGAGGGGCTGATGTGGAATGGAGTGGCCAAATGGTGGGTGGCAAGAAAATACCGCCTATTGTGAGCGTTAGTTCTATTGCTGGAACTAGTTCAATGCACCGTCCCGCAGCATAGCGAGCACACAAACCACACAACTGTTGCAAATGCAATAATCGATTATAATCGCATGAAAACATCGATATTAGGAGATGCAAAATTCCCTGGCACCTATCGATTTTGTTGTGTTGTGTTGTTGTATTTTGCATGAGTGTGGGAATTTATTAAACAAAAAACGAAACGCGGACAAACTATATTTATGTAATAAACGTAACGCCGCGCGCCAAAGAGTGATGACCAGACCACGGCAATTACAGACTACTTAGGCAAAAACGCACCGCACTCAAGGGTCTAAAATCAAAGTGTGATTAGCTCAAATCAATTGATTCGTTTTGCTCAACAAAAACAAATTCTATTTCCAATCGCTTCGATAGTGTGTCGTTCTTGTTGTTGTTGTTATTTTACCGAAAAGTGAAATAAAAAAACACAGCGCACACACACACACACGCGTGCAAAGAGAAGAAGAAGAGCAGACGCCAGCTATATAAAAAAGGCCACAAAAGAAGTGGAAATAAATCTTTCCCAGAAGACAGGGGGGAACCGAACTAATCGGCAAATAATTAGTGGAGCCCAAAAAGACCGCGAAAAACTCGCCGAGTAACTCTTTCTTTTCACAAGAAAAACCCCAAAAGCCCTGTTATCGATTTTGTATTCGAGGGTGTTTGTGTGTGTGAGTGTAGCGCGCCCGCGTGCGTGTGTGTGTGTGCGTTCAGCGCGTTATCAAAAACAACAACAATTGGTTGCAAAGTAACAGCGAAAGGAGGAATACGAGGAAGAAGAAGAAAAAGAATCTTTTTTAGCCGGTTGCAAATCGCGCCATCTCGCTCGCACCGCGCTCAATCGCGGATCGTGGTCGATTTATCGAATTAATCGCCAAAGTACACAATATATACATATATACATCATTTATTTCAAATGATTTCGCTGCTGCAAATGAAATTCCATGCGCTTTTGTTGTTGCTATCAAAAGTCTGGACATGCATCTGTTTCATGTTCAATCGCCAAGTGCGAGCTGTAAGTACAGAAATTAGCAAAAAAAAAAATAAAAGCAATAAATCGAGAAGAAAATAGTTTTTATTTTTACCCGCCCGAGAAACCCTGAAATAGTTCCCAACCCGCTCCCGCAATCGCCTCAAGTAACACACAATAATAATAATAATAAAAGCTACCGCGGTGATAAGACTTCCAATACTTACAGTCTGCACATGCTAAAGTGCACAGCTGGATATATTTACAATTGCCTTGCTTCAAGAAATAGAAATCTTAAATATGTAAAACAAAACAATCATATTTTATAATGTAATTTATAATTTTTATTAAATTAATATTTAAAATACAGTTAAAGACTTTTATTTTAATTACACATGGATATAGCTAGATTATCTTATCTCCCAAGTGTTTTCAATGGTTTTTAAACAATCAGTTTGTTATTATCTAATCAAATTATACTTAATAACAGTAAAAAATGTACTTAAAGTTTGACAAAAGTGATGATGTAAATGTTTTTTTTTAAAACAAAACTTCCCAAATTATTGTACACTGATTTGAAAAAAAAGCATACCATAATTATTTATCTTTCTGTACATCTTAGCAGGCGATAACTGTTGATAAAGTTAGTTTTAATCAATACTACGGCAGAGGTTTAATAGGCCATGTTTCATGGGATCCCCGTTCCCCCCAAAAAAGTGCACTCCAATGCTTTTTACCCACCCACCTTATCGGCCAACCGACTTTAATGTTCTCCACTTGGCCGGCATTTTCTGGCCCGAAATCGTGACGCGGCAAGAAGCACTGACCTTCGACCTGCTGCTTTTTATTTCCCCTCTTTAACTAGTTCTATAAACACCTATAACAAGCGCAATAACATTAAACGCACAGCTTAACTACATTTTTCTGCACAGTAAATTACATTAATCATTCAATGTTGTAGTTCCCTTCAAATTTTCTCAACAATGACATAAAAATACATACATGTCTACTATGATTGTATACCAAATGTAGATTCAAAACTGATATAATTGTTTAAATTAGCCTTTATAAAGTATGTGTTTTTATGTCGCAAAGTATCTTAAAGTTTGTTTTTTATGCAACAATTTTTCGAAGACTAATTGTTTAACAAGAAAGTCAGTAGTCAGTAAAGGACCTCCCTCACCTTTAACATCATCTTGCACCGTAAAACCAAAGTCTAGAGAACTAGATATGACTAAACCCATTACGTAAACCCCATGTTGAATGCCTTTCAAGTACTGCTCCGTTGATTGTATTAACTTCCTTAGTTTATCCAGTATCAACCGGTTAAATATGAACTCTTCCCGCTGTCACCCGTCTCGCGTCACCGCCTGAGCCTGGTGCAGCGGAAGACCCTCGTTCTGGACCTGGACGAAACGCTGATACACTCCCATCACAATGCGATGCCCCGGAATACGGTGAAGCCGGGCACGCCGCACGATTTCACCGTCAAAGTGACCATCGACCGGAATCCAGTGCGCTTCTTTGTTCACAAGCGACCGCATGTGGACTACTTTCTGGATGTGGTGAGTTCTGAAAGGGATTACGATTACCTATAAAATAACTTTACGAATGTATGATGTACCAGAATTTTGTCTTAATTTTATACCGATTAATAAGTTGATTATCAATTAATTTGGAATTTTATAGAACTTAATTCCCATACATATTATACATACATTGCAATTGGATCTGATCCTTATTTTTTTGGATTTCCCGCAGGTGTCACAGTGGTACGATCTGGTCGTTTTCACGGCCAGTATGGAGATTTACGGGGCGGCAGTGGCGGATAAGCTGGACAATGGCCGAAACATCCTACGGAGGCGATACTATAGACAACACTGCACCCCCGACTACGGATCCTATACTAAAGACCTGTCGGCCATCTGCAGTGATTTAAATAGGGTGAGAACGGTGAACTCTACATACTGAAGTACATTCAGTTTTTGAATATTAACAACTGTTATTTATATGAATCTTAAACAAACTTAATTCTTGTTACAAGTTTTTTTTTAAATAGATAAGGCTTAGAAGGTTATAATAAAAAACTAAAGTAGAAAGAAAATATTAAAGAATTATAAAACAAAATATTCCCACAAATAAATATTAAAGGGTTATATAGTACAAAACATTTGTAGGGAAATATAGATATGTAGATCTCTTAAATAAGTTATTTCCAAATAAAAAGTGTTCGCTGGAGTGCTTTATTATTTGGTTACCAACTTACAATGTTATTTTTGTGTTCTTTGGCTAATGGATATCTATTTCTTGCAGATATTCATCATTGACAATTCGCCCGGGGCCTATCGCTGTTTCCCCAACAATGCCATACCCATCAAGAGTTGGTTCTCGGATCCGATGGACACGGCGCTGCTGTCGCTGCTGCCCATGCTGGATGCGCTGAGGTTTACGAACGACGTGAGATCGGTGCTGTCCAGGAACTTGCACCTGCACCGCCTCTGGTAGCAGGTGGGCCGCTTATCGCTAGTGTAGTCTATCTATTTAGGAGGAGCAACATAAGCCAGCAAAGTGGGGATGATATACCTTCTGAAATTAACAACAAAATGGTGGTGCTGTGACACATTAACGAATTTTTTCATTATTATTATATTTACCATTCAGTCGGATTAGCGAAGAGACACACGGAATATAGAGAAAGTGGAGAGTATACCTTAAAGTTATGGAATTCGATGGTTTTTTGTTTCCTTTTTGTGTATTAAAATAGAAGAGTTTTGTAACAATCTAATTATTAATGCATATTTGTCCATATGTGAAGACCAGCTATTTTATTTTTTTTTTTTTGAGATTTTGTGTTTGTTTTTTGTACGTATATATTTTGATTATAATATCAAATGGAAACTCTTGAACACAGTATATATATATATATGAAATGGAAGTTAAGCAGAAAAAGTGAAGTAACAATATTAAGAACAAATTTGTCAAGTTATATATCATATTATTATAAATTAAATCTAAGGCCACAACAACAAGAGTCTTTCTATACCATGATTACGATTAATAATTATAAAACTGAAATTGTTTTTTATAAAGAAAACAGGACGAAGCAAAATACTTATAATTATACAAATTAGTTGATTACGAAACTTTCCTGGACATCATTATTATTGATAATTTTTACATGTAACCGATTCTGTATAGACTTATATATGTTCTGCCCTCGTTTCCTGTACAAAACTAAACGGACGGAAGATCTTTCAAGAGTTTCATTGCTTGCAAACCAAACATAACACTTTTCTAAGGATAAGATTTTTGTCTTTCGAGGGAGTTATATATTTATACATATTATATATATCTACAACTAAGCAACAACCAACAACTATGAACTACTATTAAAGTAAACAACAACCAACAAGCAAGCAAGTAAGGCAAAAGTTCTATTTTGTAAGGCGAGCCAAGTAGCATTGAGATATAAAAATCGCATTAATTCTGATAGGATCGGATCAGATCAGATTAATGACGAGCCGCAGACTGGGACAGATATATATAGGGAGTTTAGAGAGCCAAATCACTAATTATACGAGAACCGAGTTAGTCTGAGAATTGAGAAATCGTGGCACATCATCCGAGGCATCACAGGATATTCAGGATATTCAGGAGAGCAGCAAAAAAAATTAAAAGAGAGAGTAACACATGAAAACTGCTTCCATAGTTAATGTTATTTCCAAAAGCATAAACACACCACCCTAAACTAAACAACAAATGCTTGCACACGCCCTTTACCTATTACCTTTTACCCCACCCCTATCCAATTGTTCTTTTTATCGTAATGTAAATTTAAAACAATCACTATTTGTTTATTTATTGCAAGGAAAACGAGAATAATACGTGTATGCGATGTTGTTAATTTTAAGTAGTTTGTAGCAAATTTGTTAAACTGAAACGTAAATGAAATAAATGAGAAAGGGAACACAAAAGCAGAAAAAGAATTACAAAAAATACAAAACCAAGCAAAATCAATAATATGTGTTTTCTTTTATTTGCACTTTTGAACTTGGCGCTTTATAAGTAAGGCAGTGTTGTGTTTTTAGCATACTGTTAACAATGGGTTTGACGTGTTCTGTTAACTATAAATTGTGCTGTTATGCGCACTAAACATGAATGAACGAAGCTTTTGGCCATTTAACATCGATTGTGGGATACCCTTTTGAGTATAATATTACAACTTGAATTTTTTAAAATCATCGATTTATTGTTTATTTAAATTAATAAAGATAAAATAGAAACAATGAACTTAACAAAGTAATTAATGGTTTAATTATTATTAAAATCATTCTTGTAGAACATCATTAAAATCGCAAAATAATGCTGTGATTTTTAAAAATAAAACCTATAACCAAAACATTTGTGGATACATTCTTGAAACTAACTCAAAGCATTAAGTAGCATAAATAATAATTTAGGATTTCAAAATCTATAGTTGCTCTTTCTTTTCCTGTAAACTTCCTTCAAGCCAAGACACCTCACGAACGTAGGGTATTGCAAAGTGCTGTTAGCTGTCAATTTGAGGTTATGTGCGCCCGCTTATCCGACAACAACAACAAGTTACCGTAAAAAAGAAGCGCCGTAGTTTTTACGCAACGCAACTGGTAAGGAGTCGTCCGGATTTGGCTCCCAGATATATTGCGATACATTGCCATTCATAACACACCCAATCCTTGATTAATAGGAAAACCGAATCCATGGCCACCGCAGCAGCTGTAGCAAAAGTGGGAAAATCAGTGCACCGCATTTTCGTGGGCAATCTACCGTGGACGGTGGGCCACCAGGAGTTGCGTGGCTACTTCCGTGAATTCGGACGTGTGGTGTCCGCCAACGTGATCTTTGACAAGCGAACGGGCTGCTCCAAGGGCTACGGCTTCGTCAGCTTCAACAGCTTGTCCGCTCTGGAGAAGATCGAGAACGAGCAGAAGCACATACTGGAGGGCAACTACCTCAACATACAGAAATCCTAGATTCCGAGCGGGCCGCTGTTCGTTAGTCATTTAGTAAATAGGTTTTGTTTTATCGATTTAAGAAGCGTTTTGAACATGTCGGACAGCGATACGGATCCCGAGGAGGAGCTCTTCCATATGGCCGCTGAGCATGTGGCCAGACAAACGGCCCATATTGGCTCCGCCGATCTGCTGCTGTTCTATGGATACTACAAGCAGGCCATAGACGGTCCCTGCGAGGGGCCAAGTCCCGGGCTGCTCCAATTGAAGGCCAAGAGTAAGTGGCAGGCATGGCGCAATCTCGGCAAGATGTCCCCCTCCGCCGCAAGGCAAGCCTACGTCCAGAAACTCGATGAACTGCAACCAAATTGGCGTTCTCGGCGTAATCCCGGCTGGGTGGTGCACTCCATTGAATCCGCCCCATTGGAAGATCAGCGATTGGACAGTGAAAAGACTCTGTTCGATCATGTGAAGGAGAACAATCTGGACAGGCTTAGGGAACTGCTGTCGGCGGGAGATCTTGCGGAGCTGGATGAGCACGGCATGGCCCTCATCCATTGGGCCACCGATCGCAATGCCGTCGAAATCATTCAGTTTCTGGTGAGGAGTGGCGCCAGCGTGGATCAGCGGGATGCGGAGCAGCAGACGCCGTTGCACTACGCCGCCAGTTGTGGACACTTGGAGGCGCTACGTTGCCTGCTGGAGCTGCGGGCCAACCTCGAGCTGCGCGATTCGGATGGACAGACATGTTACGAAGTGGCCGACGATGAACAGATCTGCCAGGTGCTCCAAGACGAAAGAGACCGCCTCGCTGGATCCGCTTCCTAATCCTAAACGCCTTTTAATCTTAAGTTGTTAGGTGCTCGTTTGCTTTGAAACCCTATAATGCGTTGTGAACCATTGTAAATCACCTATAATTCGTCAGTAATCTTGATAAGAAATCATTGCTGTTCTTTTCACGAGGGGTTTCATATCCATATCTACGCTTTTTTTACATTTTAAGTTGTTAAGTTCTCCGTGGAACCCTAATAAACATACATCACAAAATGTAATTTGTTTCCTGGAATTATTGAAAGGGATTATGTAAAGCATTTTTTTTGTAGAACCGTATAACGTAAATACTTTTTATAGGAATAGCCTGGTTTGAAAAAGAAAGAGATGGTAGTACACGCAAGATTTCGATTATAATAATCAATTTGGTAGATTGCTTCCTTACTTTTAATAGCTTTTGCAATTTGTTCGTTTTTTTAACATTCTCCAGATCTATCATAAATATTTAAATCAGACTCAAAAAGTTAAATATTTGTGTTTTAGATTTATAAATGATCTTGTTTGTTCCCTTTTGAACTATAATTATAACAAGCTAATTAGCTGAAGAGGTTTTTTTTGTTCAATATCCACCCATAAAGCAAATGTATAATATTATTTATGTTACTAACTGATATATTTATTGACAATGAAATAAGGTTTGCGTAAGCAGTGTGAGTGGTTGGTGGTCGACGCCTACTTCCATAGCTTCTTGATGGACATGTTCTTCTCCGAGTCCTTCTGCATCACCTTGGCCACGGCCATCTCAAAGTCCTCCTGGGTGACATGCACTCGTCGCTCGCGCAGCGCATACATGCCGGCCTCCGTGCAGACGCCCTTGACCTCCGCACCCGATGCGCCCGGCATCAGTTCGGCGATCTTGCGCAGATTAATGCCACGCGTAAGGTTCATCTTACGGGAGTGAATCTTTAGGATGTCCAGACGGGCCTCCTCGTTTGGTGGCGGAAACTCGATCTTGCGATCAATGCGACCGGGACGCAGCAGAGCGGGATCCAGGATGTCAATACGATTGGTAGCCATGATCACCTTGATGTTCTTGGTGGCCTCAAAGCCATCCAGCTGGTTGAGCAGCTCCAACATGGTACGCTGCACCTCGGAATCGCCGCCAGATCCAGACTCGATACGCGACGAGCCAATGGAATCGATCTCGTCCATGAAGATAATGGATGGAGCATGCTCGCGGGCCATCACGAACAGTTCACGCACCATGCGTGAACCCTCACCGATGAATTTCTGGACCAGCTCGGAGCCGGACACACGAATGAAGGTGCATTCGGTGTGATGGGCAACGGCCCTGGCCAGTAGGGTCTTTCCCGTACCTGGAGGTCCGTAGAGCAACACTCCCTTCGGCTGGGCAATGCCCAGGGCATCGAACAGTTCCGGATGCTTGACGGGCAACTCAATCACCTCCTTGATTTCCTTGATCTGCTTGTCCAGGCCGCCAACCATTTCGTATGTGGAATCGGGAACCTTCTCGACCATCATCAGCGAGACCAACGGATCCACCTTGTTGGGCAGAATCTTGTGCAGCGTGTAGCTCTCGTTGCGCAGGGCCACACGACAATTGGGCGTTACATCGTTGATATCAATGTTCTTGTCCAGATCGACAACGAACTTGCCCTCTGGATGCACTTTAACCAGCACCTTCTTCTTGTCCATCGGCTTCACAACCTCGCCCACGTAGCTTCCTTGTTCCTGGAGCAGCTGTAGCTCCTCGCGCAACATGCGAACTGCAAAAAAATATATTAAAGTTTATCTTTGTAATTCCTATTTTTCTTAAGTTCGATTGCGATGATTTTCTAAATTTGGTATGTCTTTTAAGATATTTGACTTGAGCTTAGCAAGGTACTTCTTTTGTTTTGAAAGATAATTGTACAATTTTGTAAAGCAATGTATGTAAGTTCACCCAAGAAAGTCCAATTGAAATAACTTATGGGTTCATCAAAATAAAGTATATGCTTAAATCGTAGAATTTGGTTTGGAAAGTATATATATATATATATGATATATTTTATATTATTTGTAAAGTTAAGCTACTAAAATTTGGTATATTGTCTTCTATAACCTTTGTAAGCATACCAATAGGTTTTAACTATATCTAAACCTATAATATTCTCCTTGTTCTTTGGGGTTCATTGCTTTAACTTGATAGATGACTACTTTTAGTGATTGCAGGCAATCAGATTAACTTTGATATTAAAATATGTTAATATTATATAGCTAATTAAGGAATTATAAGCTTGCAAGGACATCCTATACACGCCTATTTACCTTTGGCATTGAGCTCATTTCGCTGGGCCTGCAGACGCCTCAGATTTTGGCTCTTTTCAGCCACAATCAGTTGCAATTCCTCGATCTTCTGGATGTAGTAAGACCGGAATCCCTCGCCTTTTTGGTAGGCCGACTCGATTTCCATCTGGGAAAACAACGGATTTCGGTTTTTGCAATGTTTTCGGCGTCGAAAATACTGTAGGATTTTATATCCCTTACCCGATTCGTCACCGTCATTTTGTCTGCTTTTTCCCTGTTGCGTTTTAAGTCGATATTATTTCTGTTGTTTTCTCCACCATGCAAATACTTCTCGAGTTAATTTTTTATTTTTGCTTTACTTATGACTCGGCATTCTTGGCTTGCTTTCAGTGTGACCGCAGTGATAACGACAAAAATATCTCCCAAACCAAAAATAAATACCAATTTCAGTTTTAAGAAATACCATTTAAATACCATTAATCGATAAGACCAGATTGTGGTAAAAGCTAAAATCATCAAATTCAATTGTTATAAATATAAAAACCGTTAAAAACAAAAAGCCGGTAGTAACTTTGAAAATTTTGAGCAACGATTTTGCTATGTGTATTTAATATCATTTAATTTTTGTACACGAAAATATACTGTGTAACATAACTAATAAATTTTTACGATTACACATAACTGAATTTTAGAAATAAATCTTTGAATTAAAAATGAATAATATGTGCTTTCATTAATAGTTATAATAGAATAATGACTTTATTGGCCTGATTTTCGTGTACTAATTAAAATAAATACCTACAATACTTTTCAAGTATTTATGTATTTCATGATCACTTTAAAAGTTACAATATAAAAATAAGTAAACTGATTCCATCAATATGTGCTTTGCAAACAATGTTCCGTTTTGTGTTCAAACAAACTAAATATTATATTCAAAATCCTCTGCCGCATATCGAATTCTATACCTTAACACTACTAATTTCATTGTGTGAAACGTAGCCAATTTTTGTTTGTTTTTGTTATATGTATATATATATTTTTAAAATCGAGAATGCCGGCCACCAAAGGATACTTATTCAAGCGATACATTCGTATCGAGCTCAATCTCTGGAGGCGCTCGCTCTTCGAGGCCATCACCCTGGTGATCATGGTCCTTGTGATCATGCTCAATCCCATCGCCCATTCCAAGCAGCTTCTCTACATGAGCAACGATAAAGAAAACGAACAGATCATCGTATCGCACAAGCTTCAGGATATCAACATATTGACGTAAGCGGCTACTCTTTATATGGAACAATTATAAATTTAGGATTCGGCTCTACCAAGATTGGTGTGCCGACTTGTTTTCTTTCTGTAATGTATAGCTTCATCAAATGGAATAGTTTTTATAAACTCATTAAATTCATAAAGGTAGATTATAATAACATATCTTGAGCTATTTAGATCGAAAAACGTAAAAATCTCAGGACCTAAACGCCTTTTGTACGCCAAAATTGGTATGCATTGTTGTTTGTTAGTAGTTAACATGATGTTTGCATTATTTTGACAAGAACAAATCAAAAAAAAAAAAAAATTAGAATACAAATTGACTTTCCACAGACGAATGGCGGACTCAAAGCGGGAGAAGACCAAGTTCAGTCTGGTCTACACGCCCAAAACTCCGTTTTCAACGGAAGTGACCAACAATGTGGCCAAGACGCTGGAGCTGAACTCCACGGTGGGCTACCAAAGCGAGGCCCAGATGCAGGATCAGTTCGACGAACGGACGACGCTGGCGGGGATCGTGTTCCATGATGCCGAAGGCGAGGGCACTCCCTTGACGCTATCCGTGTCGATCCGATTTCCCAGCGAGTTTCGTACAATTGCTTCATTTCTCACCGAGGATCGACTGTGGGTAACCCGCTGCTCGGGACGGATCCATACCGGACGGGATCGGGCCAAACACGATAAGCAACAGGATATATATATACGCGAGGGATTTCTGCAGCTGCAGCATCAGATCTTCGTGGAGTGGTACCATCGATTGCGCAACGATTTTCTCACCAACTTCCCGGAACCGAATGTCGAGGTCTACAACATTCTGCTGAAGGTCTCCGACGAACCCTGCTCCGTGATGAGTCTCGCCCGGCTGCCCACATTCTTGTATAACTTCATCTACCTACTGCCCTTCCTAAATGTTATCAGAGTGAGTTTATGAAATGATTTGTAATATTTGTATATTATGCTATCCTCAAACAGTTCCCAAGATTTTTGATTCCTTATTAATGATTACTTCAAGACTTAGGCTATATAATACACATATATAATAAATGCTACATTCCAAGCTTAAACATAATGTAATCATTTTTTAAGGAATTAAAGATCTCGGGATCTGTTCGAGTTGGAGTTGTGATATAATATGAGGGTTTTTGTCTCCTCCAGAACGTGGCTGCCCAGGTGGAGGATGGTGTAATGGTGCATCAGTGGCATTACGGTTACTCGTTCGGCATGCAATGGGGTTTCAAGTTTACGGTGCTGTTCCTCAGAATGTTAATTTTAGGTGCAATCTTTGTGATAATGATGTTGGTAAGTACTACATAATTGTCCATAGTTATATTTTTGTAAGTTATATAATTTTTACAATATATTTTTAATTTAGTTTTTCTGGGCCTTTGTTGGACAAGAGGGGCAGTTTTCCGGCAAGGCGACGATAGCATTCATCTGCTTCATCGTGGTGTATACTGTGGAGATCGTCATTACCGGAATGGTGGTGGCGAAACTATTTGTCAATCCCACCAATGCGGTTCTTTTCGCCCTGGTCATGTGGCTGTTCATGTACGCGGCATTCTGCATTATATTGGAACGTTACTGGGACATCCACAAGTACTATGTTTTCTTCATCCTGGTGGTCTTCTGCAACTGCCAGATGCACTTCAGCATGAGTTTGTTCCAAAATTGCATCGATGGCCCGGATATTGTGCAGACCATCGATTTCGTAGTGATATTCACGGCGGCCATTAGTTCGGCCTTGATATACTTTCTGGTTCTATTGGCGATGCAGTGGCGGATGCCGGGCACATACCTCAGTCGGCGCATAGTGAACAACCGGCCACGGAAGCAACGCGAGTCGGACGTACCCATTTTGTATGTGGGTAAAGCTCCTAGCTTCCAGAACTTCGAGTACGGCGATGTGGGCAGCAAGGAGTTGATGCGACTGCGTCATGTCAGCACCACACATCGCGATTCGGAGCGAAAGATCCTGAAGAACATATCCATGCGGATCTATCGTGGCGAGGTGTACGTCATCCTCGGGCATATTGGTTCCGGTAAGCTCACCCTGATGAGGGTTCTGGCCGGCCTCAAGTTCCCCCTACGCGGCAGTGTAACCATTTTGGACAAGCACTTTGAACCCAATGGTAAGCTTGTTTATCACTTAACTAATTCTGGATTACTTAAATCTAGATTATCATAAGTCCCAAAAAGAATTTATTTATTTATTTTCTTATTTATTTTCCAGTAACTTAAAAGTTATATCATTATATCTATCGAGTTTCAGTAATTAATAGTGAAAGATTTTAATAATAAGTTTCAACTCAAATTGATTTACTTATGTTAGGATTTACTTAATTTATTTTTTGTGAATTTCTAATTTAATATTTGTTTTATTTTTAATGTTAATTTTGTAATTTACATTTAAAAACAATTTTTTTTTTGTTTTTTTAAGCATACATTTTATTAATAATGCGAATCCCTTCAGAGATCTTGGTCTATTTATGCCAGTGGCGTATGCAAAGAGGTTTTTTAAGATCTAACCAGTTATAAACTGATAACAAAAAAATTCGCTTATAAAACTTAAAGACCCCCTCCACACAAATCCTGGATACGCCACTGATTTATGTACAGATTTTTTGCGCTTCCATTGCAAAAAAAAAAAAAAAATAACACAAATATTAAAAAGTATTATCTGTATAAGATCATTATTAAATATTTAATTTTATATTCTTTAAATTACAAATTGCAAACAGGTGAAGTGCGTCGCATGGTTGACTTCCGTTTCCATGAGCACGGACTCAATAAGCACTTAACCGTGGAGCAGACCATCGACTACCATGTCCGCTTGAAACTGGCGCCCAGTGAGTCCGATCGCTACGAAATCGAGAGGCGCAAGTGGTTGGCCATACTCGATCAGCATGTCGAGAGTCGGAGGACGCGGATCGGAAAGCTAAGCCCGAGCGCAACAAAACTGGTGGCCCTATGTTGCTGTTTGGCCGGGGATACACGGATCATTATATTGGAGGAGCCGACCACCATGCTGTCGGGACGCGAGGCGCAGGTCTTTTGGTCGATTGTCAATGCGGAGAAGGAGAATCGTGCCTTCATCATAGCCACCTATAATGTGGGCGAGGCGGAGCATGCCGCCGATCGCATCGGGATCCTCAGCATGGGCGTCCTCGAGGCCAGTGGCACACCCTTCTTTTTGCGGGCCAGGTTCAGCAACAGTGTGGATCTGGTACTTATGAAACTATACTCTATTTCTACAATCTAATATCACACACCTTATTCTTAAAGGTCATGTTTAGCCTATTATATTTTCATGATTATGTATTTAAGATTTACTTTGAATCTTTGAGGTTTTTTTTTTCATTTTATTGAATTAAATTTTAGCTCAACTGTCTTGCAGAATTCATTATTTCAGTCCAAATTATATTAATTTTATAAAATGTAATGACTATTAAATTCCAATTAATCTACATTTTCGATTTTACCCATTCACAGGTCATCATCAAGAAGCCACATGTACCCGATCAGCCAATCACGGACTATATCAATCAGTTTATGACTAACATTGAGCCGGAAAACGAGATTGGTGATACCCTAACGTACAGACTGCCGGTAATCTTTCGACCACGGCTGCAGAAATTATTGATCCATCTGGAAATCGATCGCAAGAAGCTGGGCATCGAAAATGTGCGAGTGGTTGGTGCGGAACTGTCCGACATTTATATGAAGCTGGTCACCTCCTTTCGACTACAGCAGCAGATGATTCCGGATGTCAGTAAGTTCCTAACTAAACGATTTTGTTGGACAAAGTATTTAGGGCTTTTAATATATGGTTTGAAATTCCATCATTGGATCATTGTTTCCCTGAGTTTTACCAGAAAACCAAATATTTTTAATATATTGTGTACTAAAAACCACATTTTTGAGAAATTTGTGTTGTTTTCAATTGGTTAAAATATTAGATAAATTTTTTTTTTTTTTCAAAAATGTATACAATTTTAAATGTTCAGCTGTGAATGTCAATCGATTGTAAATTTTGTGACGAATTTAACGTTATTTTTTTTAAATTTTGACTATTGTTTTTTCAGGTTTTTGTTAGAGAAACCAAAACTTGAATTCATATTTTTAGCCTTTAGGTAACAAAGTAATTTGCTTATTTTTACAGGCCAAACATTTAAGTACCAGGTGGTTTCGCAAAAGCAACTGACCAGACAGCGGATGCGCGCAATGTTTTACAAAAAGATGATCCACACGGCGCCGAATGTCTGGCCGATTATCATGATCTTCACTAGCTTTGTTCTGATCGCCATCATCGCTCGTCTTTCGGTGCTGCTCGATATGCCGAATATGCGTCAGAACTCGATACACATTGGGTTCATGGAACCGGTGGATGTGTCCAAGATACCTAATTTGAAGGATTGCGGCTACATCGACATCCGGGCGGACAAGACGGTGGTTAAGAAAAAGCGCATCGATGTCTCCAGGACCTTTGATGACAAGACGTTTGCCTGCGAGAAGGGTACCTATCGCAATGATTTGAAGCAGAAGAGCGAGCTGAAGAGTTTTGGAGCAGTGGAGGCGGACGGGGAGCAGAATCTCAACGGTTATATAAGCCAGGATATCTTTCACTCGGCTCCCATGGTGCTTAACTTGCTGCACAATATCATACTTAGGTGAGAAGAAAGTATTAATTATGATACTTTGTAATTTATAACGTCTTATTATTTATTTATCAAAAAAATTTCTTTAAAAAACATTTTTTTTTCTCTTTGTCTCTCTTTTCTCTTTTTTTTTCAAGGAAGTGGCTGCACCGTGTACAACCAGCATTAATTATTTATTATTTATTTGCAGACTTTCGTATCCGGAGCAGGAGAACATAATTACCATGGTGGAGAATCATCCGCTGCCCACGCAGTTGTCGCGAAAGATCAATCTTCTGGACAACAAAATCGCCCACATTCATGCCCCATTGGCCATCGGCTGCATCCTCCCACTGACCGTATCCGTTTTCGTAATCCCGCTGGTGGAGGAGGAGATATATAACGTACGCTTCTTGCAACATATGGCCGGGCTGGGACTGAAGGTCTTTTGGGGTATTAATCTGTTTTGGGACTGGTTCACCTTCTTCATCTATTCGATCATCATTGTGGTGATCATGGGTCTGATGGGCGTCGGCGGCTTTGGGTTCTATGAGAATTGTGTCCTGGTGCTTCTGCTGTCCATCTATGGCTTGGCGGCCCTGCCGCTCACTTATCTGGTCTCCATGTTTGTGTACAAATCGATTGTCCGGGCATTCCTCGTCTCCGTACTCCTGCAGGGAGTATCCGGCCTGGTGCTCTACATCATCTATTGGGACGTGGCGAACAGCAATACGATCTTCTTCTACGGTGCCTGCATGTCGCCGGGATTCTCGCTACTGGACGGAGTTAGCAATGTGTACACCCAGTGCCTGGAGCAGGAGATCTGCAATGCCAAGTGCCAGGCGCACGCCAGCTGCACACCGGAGAATATGCACGAGGTGGTGCCCAATTGCCAATGTGAGTTTCCAGTCCGGTTAATTCAGTGCATCTCCGTTTGATGCAATCAATTACTCAAGCAATGCATTTATTATTAACCAAAACTGATTTTTATGCAAGTTGGCCAATTTACAAAATGGAAATAGTTTTAGGTTTTCTTAAAATCCAAAAACGAAAAACACACAACGTAGTTATAAATGCAGAACTAAAACCTAAGTTTTGAAAGTTTTCGTACAATTTTTTTTTTGACGCCATAAAAAAATATTTCAAACAATTTAGAAAATCATAAAAAATCATAAATGATATTAATGTTAATAACAAAATGTAATTTAATTTTTGCATGTCTTAATACAAGTTTCGATTATTCCCAGTTGACACCCATTTCAAATGGTCTGCTCCGGGCATTCTACCCGCCATTGTCTACATGGTATTGTCGGCTTTGATTTTTTTGATGCTTATTTTCTGGATTGAGCTGCATCGCAGGGAGAAGAAGTTCCATTCCCCCAGAGAGTAAGTAATATTTGTGAATCTTTTTAAGACCTTTTATCTGACATTTTGGCAGTCTCCGTAAAATGAGGACCGCAACTTATCCCTTCGACGATGGGGATGTGGCGGACGTGAAGCTGAAAATCGCCGAGGCGGATAATACCAAGGCCAAACAGTCCGTGTTTTTGGTAGACCAGGTGGAGGCCAAGGTTCCCACCACGGGCAAAAGGATCAACACTGTATCCTTTGCTCTGAACAAGTGAGTAACTCAATACAATCCAAATGATATAAAAACGAAAATCATTGAACAATAGCTCTCATGATTTTAATTAATCAGACTATTATTTGCTGATAAAGTCAAGCCTTAGATTTAATAATTTTAGATATTTAAACATTCATATAAAACCAAAACTATTTGAAAAATAACACAATTGATATGAAATGTTATATAAATGTTGTAAAGTTAATCAGACATTTATTTTCCAATAAATTCTAAGTCTAGATGTAATAGAAGAGTTGAAAGCCACATTTAGTTTCATAGTTTCAGACTCGTAAACACTTTTGATATGAAAACCTAGATATACTTGTATTTCGCAATTATAATGTTAATCAGATAAACTTTTTTTCAATAAAATTAAAGCTTAGATTTAATAATAGAGTTTTTCAAGAGTTATAAATTGTTTGTAAAATTTCAGATATATGAGCATGGGCATCTTTGGGCCTCGTAACTCCGGCAAAAGCCATTTGATGCGACAATTGGTGGGCGAGGAGGGATTCGCCTTTGGTGAGATCTATGTGCGGGGCCTGGACTTCAAGTACGATCTGGAGAGCATCCACACCTACATGGGCTACAGTCCGCAGCATCGTGGCCTGCTCAATGAGCTGACTCCGCGGGAGCACATCCGGCTGTTGTGCATGATCCGCGGGGTTCCGGAGGCGAAGATCGGCGAGAAGATACACGACTTGTGCCTGATGCTCAACATGACCGGTTGGATGCACCGCAAGTGCAGTTCACTGACGGCAGAGAAGCGGCACAAGGTGAAAATAGCCCTGGCATTGGTGGCCTACAACAAGATACTGGTTTTGGACGAACCCACCTGCGGCATGCCGGCGACCACTAGACGGGAAATCTGGAATATCCTCCGATATATCCGATACTGCGGCAAGACCATCATTTTCGCCACCAACGATGAAATGGAATGCAAGATCCTGGCTGACTTTATCATTGTGTTTCAAGACAGCGAGATGCTGGCGATCGGCAGTCTACAATATTTGCGATACAAGTACAGTCATGGGTTCTATCTGGAGGTGCGACTCATCCGCGATGGATCCACCCTCGCCGAAGCGGAGGAGAAGTGGGTTTCTGTTTCTATAACTTCAGGGCTTAATAATTGGATTTGTCTATTTCCCAGTTTGCGCAAAGATGTGGATAATCTGGCCAAGTTTGTCAACTTCTTGCACAACAGATCCGAACTGGTGTAAGTGGAAGCTAATTTTAACAGCATTAATAACACTTTTATTTGAGATACAGTTTTTAGATAGAAAGATACAGGTTTTTCTATCTTTATAGTTTTATTTATTATTACATTAAAAAGATTTTTTCTGGTCCTTCTGTGAAGATTTAAAATAATTCTCTTTACAATGTAATCCCATTCTATGTATAATCTAAGTATTTTTAGTAATTGAAAGATATATCATCTGTATTTTCCAGGGGACGTTTACACAATTGGTTCAAGTTCTACGTGCCAGTAGGCCACATCGTCTATTCCTTTCTGTATGGCGCCATGGAGAAGAACAAGTTACGCCTGAACGTGAGCGACTACTGCATTTACCAGGCGGACATGATCAATGTGGTGGCCCAGGTACAGGAGACGCGGGCCCAGTTAAAGCACCGTCTAGTTCTGGCGGAAGATCGGTTGCCCCTGGACACCACGCCCCCCATACAGACCCCTCAGCTCAAGGCCAAGGGCAAGAAGTAATGCCATGCCCTTTTTGGTGCAAAGCCCACCATATCGCTATGTATATTTTATACATTGTATGTTTCTTAACAGTGTTGCAAAACAACGATTTTTCCAAAATATTTAGACAAGAACGTAGTTAAAAATTATCAATCTGTACCTGTAAATATATAAAAAAAAAATTAATTAAATGCAAATGTAAATAATTATTCAATTAGGCACATCTTAAATATGTCTTGCGTTGTTATAACTTAACCTACATAGTTCAAAGCAATTTATAGTGTACATTTGTACATATGTATAGTTCGACATAAGAGGGTTAATGTCTAACCTCGGCTATCCAGACTATAAACCTTTGAATTGTGGGCTTTCCCGCTTTCAATAAATTATAACCTGGCTGGTTGCACACGTGTGAGGCTGCATAATTAATGTAAGTCCCTGAGGAAGTTAAACAGCGCTGGGAAGTCTTCCACGTGCCGGCATTCATTTTTAATACGCGTCCTCAAAAAGTAAGGATTGATTTTTCAGGTTGACAGTTCAAATAAAAGATTAAGAATGGTTTTACCTTGAATTTTTTCAATTAAAGAAATAAATGCAACCACCCAAGTATATAATGCTCATTTTGGTTGGGATATAGTTTAAATAGTGATTTAAATGTTATCGCTCATCGCGCCCAACGATAATCGATAGATTAATAATCGCTGCTCATATTTTAAGCGTTAGAATTTTGCGCGCTCTCTTACTCGCTGACGTAACAGTTATTTTTCGTTCTCTTTTTTCCGCCAGTGCTGAACACTTTCGGCTAGAAAAAGACTGATGTTGGTGCAGGTGTAGCAAATTAATTTGTAAAACATTACCAGCTCTAACAAATAGCATGGTGCTAATTTCACATATTTTGCCTACTGTGAGTATTAAAGTTTAATATATATCATTGTGTTACTTATTGCAGAATTTTTAGTACTATTACCTTGATACTAACGCATATGTATTCAATAAATAATATTGAAGTATTTTCCAAAAATAATAAGTTTGTTTTTAAAGAAAATTTAGTTTTCCCGCTAGCTTACAAGAAATCTAGAAGCTGACTTGACAGCACCGGTTCTCTCTCTGCGCTCATTGTTGTTATTGCCCGCCTTACAGTTTCGTTTTGATTCATTTTGCTTGGCATCTCGGGCGGCGTTAGAAGTACTACTATTGTTTAACCATTATATACCCGTGTGTGTGCGTGTGTGGGCAACAGCTGTTTTGCCCCGAAAAAATTCTCAGCAAAATAATAGAAATAAAACAAAAGAGAAATAAAAGTGCGCAATTCCTGAATGAATCGAATAAACTATGAACTTCTGGGCACTCAGTGACGCAGTGTGAGATAAAAACTAATAACAGCACTATAGATGTGTGTAAATGGTTTAAATGTCGTCGGTGTTTGTAGGAAATAATCATTAGACGGCCGCACAGTGGGCGTAATCGCAGTTATCGCCCTACAATTGACGGTTCGTTGTTGCGGTTTCCCTTGGACCATGAAATGTGTTTTTCCGAGTATTTCGGCTAACATGCACTCACACACCTGCATTGTTATATTCGAGGCGCCAAAATTGTCTGTATAACGGTGGATACACACAATTTCCCGGGCGTAAAGTGTTGCATGCGCATCTGCAAGTGATGCAGTTACATTTGCAGTTAGAGGGCACAGGCGTTGAACTTTGACCGTTACTTTCCAGGGCTGCATTAAGCGATCGGAAAAAAACTACAGTAGACTTTGCATAATACGAACTCTCTAAGTCTAAACAAATTTAAGCAACTAAATATCTCTTATCAACAGTAGACATTGCATAACACATACTCTTAAATTCAAACCTTATTTCAGTAACTTAATATCGTTTAGTTTTGTCCCTGACAACATTGATCAATGTATATCTTTGTTTTTTTTTTTTTTTTTTAATTCAAAACAAATTAAAGTCCTTAAGTCCTAATGTATTTTGATCACTCTATTCCGAATTTGTAAACCATACCTCATTGAAAAATCCATCAGATACAGTAGACATGTCCTTCACCGAAATCGATGAACTTGAGAAGCATACTTTAATAAAGACATAAAATACATCAAGTTTAATTAAGTTTATACTTTGAGGATAATATTGAGCTGAGCAAATATTAACTTAAAGTTTGAAAAAGAATGGTTTGAAATGTATGGTTTCGGTTTAATTCATTTCGGAATACTTCGTAAAGTAGCCCTGTTAATACATTTTCATATACTATACTCCTATCGCAGTGACAGTGCAAATAAAAGCTCAGAAAGGGCATCGCATCAGCATAAATAATTAATTGCAATTTCCGCCAGTCGATTATGCAGTAATGTCCATCGACGAGCAGTCGCGATCTAATTTTTATCATTAAGTGGAACCACACTTAATCGCACGAACAACAATACAAGATAACCAGAATTACAAATTCAATTATTGCCAGTAAAAACGTGCACGGGGTAAGTGCAAAATTAATTGAGCATTATCTAATTTTCTAGGTAGCCGATTGGCTGGTTAAAAGTTATTAAAAAGATGACTCACAAACAAATCGGAAAATATACTATATATATTATTTTCGATTTGCAAGGAATGAGAAGTCACATTTGCTATTATGAAAACAAATGAGTACAAGTAATATATTATTGAAATGATTGTTTTAAGAGCATGCACAGAGATTCTTAAAATGCAACTGCATATTAATTAACGTATGTACAGGAGTAGAAAAATGAAATTCCTTATATTTTTTGTTTTAAAATATGCTTAGAGATTATTAACATTGTGTGACCTAGTCATTATAAATATTTCATTATCTCAATTAAATTATATCTTATAGCACTGTCATGAGAACTTTTTTTATTGCAAGATGATCAAGCATTATCTTAGCAAACTTTATTGTGTGACTCATAGGAAAGCAAATGCTACTCTGAATTTAAAGCTTTAGGGACCATTTTCACGGATTCGTAATCTCTTCGTGAGAAGCTAGAAGGAGGCTTTATCCGACAGTTATCCAACCATAGACAGAAGAAAACAGTAGTTAGGAATTATATTATCCATTGTTTTCTTTTTTACACAAATACGTAAATTACAGGATAATTAAGCCCTGGCAGTTCTAAGAATTTCGTTATTTAAGTCCACAGTTTGTTAAAAAGATTGCTTTTGGGATTTGTGTGATTGCGTGCTGTGGGTTTACTGCATGCTTGATAATGTCACTATTATCACCAAAATACAATCTCCACGAGAAATGCTAAATTGGTCGATAGATTGTCCAATCAGCGGGCGATAGTATTGTATAATGCTCTTCTTTTATGCGCGTCACATGTCTAAATGCCAGGCGCCCTAACCAACACCTGATGATTCATCGCGGTTCACGAGTTAGTCAGCAGGTATGAGGTCCTCGTGATGATTGAAGTACATTCTAAGAAAAAATCCATATCAGATATTTCGCATCGTTTTGCTATCGGGGGCGCATGCTTACATAAATACTTTATCGCTGCAAGGAATTTATAATTTTCTAGAATGAGTTGATGCAAAAAATGTAATCCTTCGAGCCGGATTTGAACCAGCGACCTATGGATCTCTGCCTGGTATTTTGCATTTATAATGCAGTTCATCTACAGTCCACCGCTCTACCAACTGAGCTATCGAAGGTTGTGTCATCATCTCTGAATCTGACATTATTTAATTTAAAATATTTATATACTATATGCTACATGCACCATATAGCTTACCTTTCACTTTTTTTGGTTCGTGTGGCTTCGCTTCTCGTAGCTCTTGTTTATCTGTTCGGTCGCAGACCCCAACGCCCCCTTCGATAGCTCAGTTGGTAGAGCGGTGGACTGTAGATGGCAATACGAAACAACAGAGATCCATAGGTCGCTGGTTCAAATCCGGCTCGAAGGAATTTTTTTATTTATTTTTTTTATTATTTACTATTTACTATTATATGCGTTTAAGTGGGATGATATTTATATTCGTCTTAAATTTTCGAAAAGTTTTTACCAGGCTAAATGAACATAATTTGCTTGTTTTAAAAAGACTTCATCAATTTCCTAATAATAAGTTCTGAAAGTCAAAGTTTTTTGTATGTACGAGATTTGTTTATTGTTAGCACAATTCTGGCACTACAAAACTAACCCAGGAGTACTTTAGGTTCATTAGTACTCAACCATTTGGATAAGAATGAGTACAGTCTGCCCCCAACATTAATGGCCCAGGTGTTTGCCCGTCCACGCGAAAGTAAAACGTGTTTGCACTCTGGAGTTTGCAGTCTAATTTAGAGCCGCGATATAAATCGACTATGTCATAATTACCGTTAAAATAGCTATGCGATAAGGTCTCTGCGAAGAACAGGTGTCCGTATCAACAGTCTCTACCAGCACGATTTTCAAGAATATTTACAAAAAGTGTGATTCCGTCTAATCAATCGCAGTAATCAAGGCTAAACTCCTCCACCAATAAATGTCCACTCAAGATTCGAATAATGCAGACAAGCCATTAACCCAAACTAACTTGAATAATTCAACTACTCCCGTGACGAGTGTAAGTCACAAAAGTGATCACATTCGATAAGAAAGTGCTCCATATAGATAATGCTAAAATTCACGCGTCCAGTATGACTCAGTTCTGGGTGTGGATCAATTTAAGAGGAATTCGAACAAAGAAAAGTTGTAGGATTAGTCACGAAATCTTAAAGAAATAGAACAGGAAACAGGAAAGTGGTTTTGGATACTAAGCCGTTTTATTTGAAAATTGTTAATTTTTGGGTATTAATTACCATTTTTATGACCGAAAATGACATAACACCCTATCAAACGATATGAATATTAAAAGCGATATCAACTTATGAGCTATTACCTATATTAGAAAGTTCTTAAAGTGATGACTTTTTTGAATGATCTAAACGAATGTTTACCTGCAATTAGTGTTTATCTTTATTTGTAGTGTCCAACGGCAACGCTCTTTAACTTATAGTTCAAAGAGCTTAAAGGTTACCATTTATAAGACGAATGGGTCGTTTATTGGAAATATATCCATATAAGCAAATAATATATGTTTTAATAAGAGGCAAGGACTTTTCAATTAAACAATATTAACAGTCATGACGTCGATTAATAATAATATTGTCAATATTGGGATTGAATGGGGACCCCGAAACCGGTACATATGTCCGCTTGTCCCGAGAGCGAGAGTGCTTATCATTTTTTAGCCAGGCCAAAACAATAAATGCTATTAGTTTTATTGAACCTGCGCTAGATTGGTTTCTATTGATAAATAAGGAACATTGCCTAGCGCTGCGACTCAGTTCGGAATTGTCCGCTCGTCGAAACGGTCGAGTGTCCGTCGGCGTTCGCGAGTCCCCGTGTTCAAGTTCCCGCCTCCTCATATACGGACTATTATTTTTGTTTTTTTGTTTTTATTTATTCTTGTGCCGTGGTGTGACACTTTCTGTTTGGCTAAGCTTCGGGTAAGTGCCAGTGCTTGGCAGGTGGAAATGCCACGCCCATTGTCTGTTGCCCCCGCCCTCCGGTTATTATATCGGTAGTACAGCTGTGGGCTGACGCTCAATGGATTTATGACGGTTATCTCTGTTTATTCCTGTTCTACACGGATTTGTGCGTTCGAGTGTCTACAGCCGGATACGTGGGTGATTCGCTATAGTCATACCCAGAATGACTTGGATTTACCCGACCATCTAAAGCCAATCTGTGCAAAAAAACAATGAAATTAGGTTGGCACGAAATAACCGTAACTCATCAGATCAGTCTAAAAAAAAAAAACTATTCTGAGTAGAAAAATGAACCTATAAATCTCTTGAACTTAAAAAGAAATATATTTGTTATCTGTTATCTAGTGTGACTCACAGAAAAATATATAAACGCATTTAATTATAAATGGCATCTAATGTATATGCCCATTAATGTTGTCAATCAAAAGTATTGCAAACAATCAATATAAATACTGTCCATTATATTTTTAAAAATTCTATGAAAGAAATAAAAGAAATCGTATTGCTTTGGTTATCAAAACCTGATATCCATGCAATAGTAAAATTGTGAATAACGTATTACCAATGTCGTTAAACATTTTTTTTTGATGTGTCATATTCAAATTCACAAAAAAATTGAATCAGACTCAAGTTTAAAATATACAAAATCTAGAAATATTTATCAATAATGGCTATTTAAACTAAAAACATATTTTCTACAGTCATAGACGAACTACTTCGGAAGAATTTTTCTTATCAGATTTTCAACTTTATTTTATGCGAATCATTCTTAGATCAGCAACTTTTTTCCTACTGACGGCCAACCTCTAAATGTTTATAAAAACAAATTTCCACATGTTAACTGCCAGCTGCCAATGGAAGTCAATATAATTGTATAATTGTTTCTAGGCAAGTTTTGTGTTCACTGCGATCAAACAAAGACATATTTTGGGGTTAACCCTTCTTTATATTTAGACACGTTGAGTATCAGGCCATTCAAAGATTAAAATACCAGCCGATTTCAGTGCATTCGATAATGCATAGTAAACTCTAAGCAATAAACGTGTGCATATAATAAAATGTGCATATACATGGGAGCTTACTTAAAGGGAACGAAGGTTATCAGAGGTTTTGTTATACTTAAACAAGTTATTAACAACCTTTAAATATGAAATCAAAGTACTTTGGTTAAAAAATAAAATTGAGATATTTTTTAAATAAAATAATTATTATAATAATTATTTAAAAAAATCATACGTATGATAATTTTTGGTTGACATTTAAAATGTTATAGCCTATTTTGTAAACTGATAAATATTCTGATCGCTTATAAGGGCTATCCAGAACCCGAAAATGTTAATGATTTGAGGGGCGTAGCGAAAAACAACCGTAACGATGGTATTACATGAGTTATGATTTATTTACGTTGGTTATTGTGTTTTTTTTTTTTTTTTTATTGCACAGGCTTATCAATCTATCATAGCCGACGATGATTAGATAATTGGACACACTCCATAGATCGATAGTCGCACTTGACATTGCACATTGGATTGTTGCTCTTTTACATTGATGATTTCCACTCGTGCTCGAGGTCAATTAACTTCCCTATGTATTACATTTTATTCTATAAAAATAAATATAATTTTTCTGGGTAATTGAGTTTATCAACATGTGCTTAAGTTAAACCACCTTTGAAAAGCCTTTAAACAGTAAAACATTATTTTTCTTCATTTTTTCAAATGTAAAACACGTTTATTATTATTTTATAATTATAAACGAAAACTAAGATCTTATATTCTTAGTTACTGAGGTACCAAAGTAGGAATTTATAAATTAAAATTGAATATATTTTTAAACTTTCTAAAAATCAAGTGAACATAAGCATAAATGTTTATTTAAATTTTTAAATGACTGTCAGCTGCGGTGGAATTTTAAGGAAATACCAATTAATTCATTTCATTGGCATATGTCTTTCGGTATTGGATTAACTTTCACTTTTAATTTACTTTCCCACTAAAAATTATTAAGAAAACTTCATGAATTACTGAGCATAGCAATCAAAATCGACTCGAGTCAATATAAGGTTGACTATTTAAAAATTGAACTCCTCCAATGATTTGTAATGATAATAAACATTTTTTTTTTTTAAACATCTTGGCAAAAGATATGTTGTATACCTTTAACAAAATGTAACGCAAATGTGTTTGTTTTATTTTTATTGCAGATAACAAATTTTAACCGATTTTAATGTCGAGGTAATTTAGAAAAGCAAAAAGCCAAAAGCCAACCGAACAAAGCTGCAAAATGGCAAAGGTCACAAACTGGGACAAGTTTGTGCTGCTTCTGTGGAAGAACTGGACTCTCCAATGGAACCACAAGTGGCAAATGGTCATTGAGCTGGTGCTGCCAGCGATATTCTCCCTGCTCCTGGTCCTGGTCCGCACCCTGGTCGATACGGAGCAGAAGGGTGTCAGGATGTATCAAAACCAGACTCTTACGGATCTCAGTTTGTTGGAGTAAGTTTTTTCCATGTAAATGATACCTAAGCTTTCTGTCCCAGCATTTTACGTTTATTACTGCATTGTTTCCATTTTTTTAGAGATTTATTTGTTGCTTTTGTTTATTAGATTTGGAGTTATGCTTGACATTTATTTCAGCTTCTACTTTCTTGACTTTTTTTTATGCTATATTTGTTTCTTCTCCAGAGTGCTGAATTATTAAACATTTAAATATTTACTCTACCTACACTTTAATACTTTTCTCTATTTTTAAAAATCAATATTTGCCTAAGTTTGTTGTTATATATTAATTTTAAATCTAGTTTCCTCTTGCTTTTAATAATACGGTTTTTTTAAGTCTTTTCTTTAGTTTTTATATAATTGTTGTTTTCACATCTTTTTAATTTTTTAACGCTTTTTGTTATTGTTCTTATTTTGTTTTGTTTTTCCGAAATTACATTTCACTCTGATATTATAAAATGTATTATTATTATATTTTTCTTTCCTATTTGTTTATTATTTGGGTTTATTTGTTGATTATTAAACTATCATTATATCTTTATATTTCCCTTTTTTACTTTAATGCATTTTTAAGTTTTCTTAACAACCCATGAAGCGCTTTATTCGATCCCCCTTTTATTGTTTACGACTATGCAGTGTTTTTCCTAATCACCCCTTTAGATTTTCGTATATCCAATATATGTAAATGTTTTTTGTCTTGTTCTGGCCCCAAAACCTGAAGACATTCGTTGCATAGATCGTCCTACCTTGGCAAGCTCATAGCGCTGATTGCACCCAATCGACGGAGGTAAACAAATCCAAAATAGAAAACCAAACAAAATAACAGCACACTATAAAAAGTCTAACCAACTTAACTGGCCACCCTTAACAAATGTTAAAACTAAAAACCACCAGAGGGAAAATTCTCTCTTTTGTCTTTTGACTTAAATGGCAATCAAAAGCTTACAAAAAATCTTGATTGTTTCACTTGCACCGCCCTTACTAGAATAACATATTAAATCACAGAAAGAGAATTTATCTGGAGAAATATTGCACATTTTATTCATATTCATTGTTTCTTGAGACTTTACTCTAGAGAGGTTTAACTGATTTTATAAAAGTCATTGTATCAAAATATAAAATTAATTTTTTTGTATATTTTTCTCACAGGAAAAACTTAAAATTTCTCATCGCTTGTTAGTAAAAACCTGCTGTAAAAATAAAATAAATTAAAAATATTTCCATAAAAATATATATATATATTACGTCCAAATTAAAGATTCAAATTATGAATTAGGTTTAATATATGGTTTCTGACGACTATGAACACCTTTATTTTAGAGAAATGCCTGCACCCCCCTCTCAACAAACAAACCTATTAACCCATAATCGACAAACTTCACTTCAATCATATGAATAATGCATAATTATGTGTTTAGTAAACTTTCTTAGGAGCTCATACTAACACTATTGGATCTTAAATGTTTAGGTCACATTCCTACAACGTAAAGTACACCGTGTGCTACTCTCCCAAGAATCCCGTGCTGGAAAAACTGGTGACGGAGGCGTGGGAGAGCCTCGGAAAGAGCGATATCTATGGGTCGGAAAATGCCAGCCAACTGGCAGTGCATACGGTCAGTATGAGTGCCATTGCCGGTATCCAGTTCGACGATGCCTGGGCCAATCTGAACAATACGAGTGACCTGCCGGACGACTTTAGTTTCGCCCTGCGCTTCCCATCGGAACTGCGAACGGCGATCATAGCGATAGCGAACACCTGGCTAACGATGCGTCTGTTTCCCACAATCGATCTCACGGGTCCGCGCAACGCAGCTGATGAGGATGGTGGCATTCCGGTGGGATATTTACGTGAGGGCTTCCTGCCGCTGCAGCACAGCCTTTCGATGGCGTACATACGACTAAAGACGGGCGAACAGAATCTGCCGGATGTGGTGATGCAACGCTATCCGTATCCCGCATACATCTTTGATCCCCTGCTCGAGGGCATGTCGTCGATAATGTCGCTAATCATACTGCTGAGCTTCATCTATCCGTGCACGTACATCACCAAGGTAAGTGGGTATGCCGGGACTGTGGTTCTAAATGCCATCACCACCACTCACGGCATTTCATTCACTTGCAGTACATCACCGCCGAGAAGGAGAAACAGCTCAAGGAGGTGATGAAGATCATGGGGTTGAGCAATTGGTTGCACTGGACGGCCTGGTTTGTCAAGTCCTTCATCATGCTGACCATATCGGCCATACTGATCGCCATTCTGGTGAAAATCAACTGGTCAGAGGGCGTGGCCGTACTCACGTATGCCAACTTTAGTGCCCTAGTCTTCTTCCTGATCATATACATCATGGCCAGCATATGTTTCTGCTTCATGATGGCCACGTTCTTTTCGCGGGCCAGCACTGCGGCCGCCGTTACGGGCCTCATTTGGTTCATCGCCTACATCCCATTCTCCTTCACGATTAACACGTACGACAGCCTCAGTCTAACCGCCAAACTTGGCTGGAGTTTGATCTCGAACACGGCCATGGGCTTTGGCATCAAGCTGATCCTGGGCTTCGAGGGCACCGGCGAGGGTCTGCAGTGGAGTAACTTCTTCACGCCCGTCTCCGTGGATGACACATTGACCGTTGGCGACGTGATGATCATGATGCTGGTATCCTGCGTCATTTGCATGCTCATCTGTTTGTATGTGGAGCAAGTGATGCCGGGCAGTTTCGGCGTGCCGCGTCCCTGGAATTTCCCATTCACGCGAGAGTTCTGGTGCGGCGAACGGGAGTACACGGGCGTCGAGGACATACCCAATGGCCAGGTGCAGGAGCAGCGGGATCCCAAAGCCTTCGAAACAGAACCGGAGGGCAAACACATCGGCCTGCAGATGAGACACCTGAAGAAGCGTTTCGCCGACAAGATGGTTGTGAAGGGCCTGTCCATGAACATGTTCGAGGATGAGATCACCGTCCTGTTGGGTCACAATGGTGCCGGCAAAACCACCACCATATCGATGCTGACGGGCATGTTTCCGCCAACGAGCGGCACGGCCATTATAAACGGCAGTGACATCCGCACCAATATCGAGGGAGCCCGCATGTCACTGGGCATCTGTCCGCAGCACAATGTCCTCTTCGACGAGATGAGTGTATCGAATCACATCCGTTTCTTTAGCCGCATGAAGGGACTGAAAGGCAAGGCCGTCGAGCAGGAGGTGGCCAAGTATCTGAAGATGATCGAGCTGGAGGACAAGGCGAATGTGGCCTCATCCAAATTGTCGGGCGGTATGAAACGCAAACTCTCCGTTTGCTGTGCCCTCTGCGGCGATACGAAAGTGGTGCTGTGCGACGAGCCAAGTTCCGGCATGGATCCATCGGCCAGGCGACAGCTGTGGGATCTGCTGGAGCAGGAGAAGGTGGGACGCACCATCCTGTTGACCACACACTTCATGGACGAGGCCGATGTGCTGGGCGATCGAATTGCCATCATGTGCGATGGCGAACTCAAGTGCCATGGCACCTCCTTTTTCCTCAAGAAACAGTATGGATCGGGTTACCGATTGGTGAGTGTGTTTGCGTCCTTCCTTCTTACTTGACCACTTACTTAATCTGCAAATCCCTTGAAGATCTGTGTGAAACGCGACGATTGCGAGACGAACGAGGTGACCGCCCTGCTGAACAAGTACATTCCGGGCCTGAAGCCCGAGTGCGATATTGGCGCCGAGCTGTCATACCAACTGCCGGATAGCGCGTCGGCCAAGTTCGAGGAGATGTTTGGCCAGCTGGAGGAGCAGTCCGAGGAGCTGCATCTGAATGGCTACGGCGTGGGCATCACCTCGATGGAGGAGGTGTTCATGAAGGTGGGCGCCGAGAAGGACATCAGCGGCAACATGAAGGACCAGAGCGAGATTATGAACGGAGGCAGTGGTTTCCGTAACGAGGACGACAACGAGTCCGTACAGTGTAAGCAGTGTTTGAACTCGATCTTGGATCTTGGACTCCCGATAAGCTCAATTAACTGTTTGCAGCCGAAGGCATCTTCTCGGAGAACCGACGCCTGCTCCAGGGAATGCAGCTGCTGTCGAACCAATGGAAGGCCATGCTGCTCAAGAAGTTCCTCTATACGTGGCGCAACAAGTTGCTACTGCTGATTCAGAACATTATGCCGGTGTTCTTCGTGGTGGTCACCATACTCATCATCGAGACGCAGGGCACTTTCCAGGAGCTAAAGCCCATTACCATTTCGTTGACCCAATATCCAATGGCTGTGACCGTTCTCGATCGCTCCAATGTGCCCAACGATACGCAAATCGCCGAGATAGCAACCAAATACGAACAGCTGGCCCTGTCCTATGGCAGTAATTATGGCTTGGAAGATACGGGCACCCAAGGCTTTGAGGTAGAACCAACTTTTATGCCAAAAATAAGCACTCGTTTTTAATAGGGATCTATGTATGTACATTTTAGGATTACATCTTGGAGCTGGGCAAGACAATCCAGGTGCGGATAAACGCGCGCTATTTGGTGGCCGCTACTATGGCTGAGGGCAATATCATTGCCTGGTTAAATAACCAGGCCTTGCACACGGCTCCCCTGACCGTCAACATGGTGCACAATGCCATTGCCACTCAGTTGAATCCGAAGATCAAGATCCAGGTGACCAATGCCCCGCTGCCGTACACAACCAGCACATTGCTCTCGCAACTGAGCATGGGCACCAATCTGGGCACCCAGCTGGCCTCCAATCTGTGCTTCTGCATGTGCTTCGTCAGCTCCATATATATCCTGTTTATGATCAAGGAGCGCGAGTCCAGGGCCAAATTGCTACAGTTTGTGGGTGGCGTTAAAGTGTGGACCTTCTGGTTGACGCAATACATTTGCGATTTCGCCAGCTACATTGTGACGGCTCTGATCGTGGTGATCACGATCGTTTGCTTCCAGGAGCCCGGACTGTCCAGCTTCTCGGAACTGGGCAGATACTATCTGCTGTTGCTGCTCTTTGGATTCGCCGCACTGCCCTTCATCTATATCATGTCGCTGTTCTTCAAGGAACCGGCCACTGGCTTTGCACGCGTCTCGATTATCAACATCTTTTGCGGCATGGCGCTGTTCATTGTGATTGTGGTGATGTCGTCGGAACTATTTGACACGAAGGACACGGCGGACATGTTGGGCTGGATCTTCCGCATCTTTCCGCACTTTTCGCTGGCCATGAGTCTGAACAAGATCTACACCAACACGGCCACGAGAAATGCCTGCGCCAAGGTCGGTTCAATCCCACCCATCCTGCTCTGCGAGTTGGTGCCGCAATGCTGCAGTGAGTATTTAAAGATCTCTGATTATGTTGTTAAATATGTGAAGATTTACCAAAGCAATATGTCCCTCATTGTTCATTGTTCAGTAGTGGCTTTTGGCTTTGATAAAACAACAAATTTAGATGTTTCAAAATGGTAAAATATCAGTGAATAATAAGTTTATTTTTAAGCATGCCTTTGTATTATACAGATAAAAACATGAGCTAATCCAATTTTTTAAGGTTCATTATATTTAATCGGGTTGTTCTGAGTTCTAAGGGACAAATAACTTTCATATTAGTATGATTTTAATTCTTTATCTTAATCGGTCCTCAAGAATTCGCGCTTTTATTTTTTCAAGAATTTGTGTATGTCCCTAATTGTTATTTTAATTTAAATTCAAATTTTTAGACATCAAGCCTTTCTTTGCTTGGGACGAGCCCGGCGTTCTGCCCGAGGTTGTCTACATGACCGTCACCGGCGTTGTCTTCTTCCTCATCATCATCGTGCTGGAGTTCAGATTGATCAACGAGCTGATGTTCAAGATCCGTCAATTGCTGTCGTGAGTTTTTGTGCCTTGAAAACGATATTCCATCATATTTGACTGTGCGTATTTTTAAATTTGTAGTAAACCGCCGCCACCACCGGCAGAGGGCCACCTGGATGACGATGTGGCTAACGAGCGGGAGCGCATTCTTAACATGTCCTCCGATGAGCTGGCTGTTAAGAATTTGGTCCTGGACCGCGTCACCAAGTACTACGGTCAATTCCTGGCCGTTAATCAGGTGTCGCTCTGCGTACAGGAGTAAGTTAAATACATATGTTAATTTTCCCAAAAGACTTGAATTTGAAAATGAGAGAATGAGTAAAGTTACTTTCACCGTTTAAGTAGCTAATTTTGTTCTATTTTATTACATCCTGAACATCCCTTTCTATCAACTAATTCTTAATTTTCGTAAATTTATTGAAAGATTAACACTAATTATGGAACTCGATTCCTTGTCTCCTCCACAGAGTCGAATGCTTTGGGCTGCTGGGCGTGAACGGAGCCGGCAAAACGACCACGTTTAAGATGATGACCGGCGACGAGCGGATCAGCTCGGGTGCCGCTTACGTCCAAGGTCTGAGCCTGCAGGCGAACATGAACAGCATTTACAAGATGATCGGCTACTGTCCGCAGTTCGATGCGCTATTGGATGATCTGACGGGTCGCGAAGTGCTGCGCATATTCTGCATGCTTCGCGGTGTCCAGGAGTCACGCATTCGGCCATTATCCGAGGATCTGGCCAAATCGTTTGGCTTCATGAAGCACATCGATAAGCAAACGCATGCCTATAGTGGGGGAAATAAGCGAAAATTGAGTACGGCCATTGCTGTGATCGGAAGTCCGTCCGTTATTTATCTAGATGAGCCCACAACGGGCATGGATCCGGCGGCCAGAAGGCAGCTATGGAACATGGTCTGCCGCATACGTGACTCTGGCAAGTCCATTGTCCTCACATCGCACAGCATGGAGGAGTGCGAGGCGCTCTGCACACGACTGGCCATTATGGTGAACGGGGAGTTCAAGTGCATTGGCTCCACGCAGCATCTGAAGAACAAGTTCTCCAAGGGTCTGATCCTCAAGATCAAGGTGCGTCGCAATCTGGAGGCATTGCGGCAGGCACGTTTGGCTGTTGGCTTTGCGCGGAATCCAGATGAGCAGACGGTGCCCGCCCAAATGGTCCAGCAGGACATCGATGCCGTCAAGGTGTTTGTGGAGCACGAATATCCGCACTCCATTCTGCAGTGAGTTTATTTGTTCTATTTATTAGCTGGATTTTAAATGAATATACCTAAATTGATTTTATAGGGAGGAGTATCAGGGCATTTTGACGTTCTACATTCCATTGGCTGGGGTGAAATGGTCGCGCATCTTCGGCCTGATGGAAGGCAATCGCGATCAGTTGAATATCGAGGACTATTCGGTCAGCCAGACGACGCTGGAGGAGATCTTCCTGGAGTTCGCCAAGTACCAGCGCGAGGATACGCGCGCGAATCAGTGAGCTAGCCCCTCAAAAAAGACCCAACACCCAGTTGCTAACACCACCTGGCTTTTAACGGGCTTCTTTGCTTCTTGGCCACATCTTCTACTTGTCGCATAGCATCGCATTGCCAGCACAACTACCACAAACAAAAAAAAAGAGCACTGCAGCAGCATCACAGCCACAGTCACAAAATCTTACACTCATCTAATACGACAGCACTTGGAACACAGTCCATCCGGTCATTTTATGAATTTTATTTAACGAATTTTTTGTTTGTAGTTTTAGCTAACACACTAACCCTAGTACTCCACCGTTCCCCTTCGATCGATACAACTGCTAACTTAGCTGCATGCGTATATATATCCCCTGGCGTATTACCAATATCCACTAACCCGAACTCTGAACACCGAGCTAACGTTAACCATGTTATGTCTGTTCTTTCTACCCCCTTCTCAAATGTTTCCACTTCACATATCCAGCCGACTCTCCGAATTGAGGAAGCTGTGCAAGTGCCTGCTAACTAATGAGTATTGAACCAACTACCTGAGCGGATCCGATCCTATGCGATCCCATCCGATCTGATTCGATCCTGACCTGATCTTACACACTCACAGATAATAATTTTGTATGCAAAGAACAACGCCGATGCCTGAACAGCTAACAAATAGTTTCTAAGGTCTACCTGACAATAGATAGCAGCGATTACGCCTTTCTTCATTGTGATCATCTAGCAAAATTTACACTTTAACGAAAAGAGATCTATATATTGTATGTTCGCTATATATATACATATATATATATATATATATATATATATATATATAGTTATATCTGCTTGACATGCACGATAAGTTCCCATAATCTTTTAGTTTTGTTTTATCCTCCCGCCCCCAAATAATAAAAATTAAAAAGTATTGGCTGGACTTGGCCGGAAATTATTCCCAGCGCCTAACATAAACTAGTTGCATATAGAGTACTATGTGTATTAATTTCGATGTACTTAGACCGGCTAACCAAAGCGTTTAAATAAGTCAATTTAACTGTGGCACAAACTCTACGATACATATGAGAATTTACAAATTATGTTAAATGTATAATATACGATTGAATTAAATATTTTATCTAAATGTACAGTCTGCTTTTAATATTTATGGGGGACAACAACGCAGGCAACTCAAAAACAGCACGGAGAAACTGGAAACAAAATTAAATAATCTAAACTGAGACTGAAATATTTCGGAGGCATCTCTTGCGCAGTGTAAGTAATATCTCTTAATGACATTTTGAACACCAACAAGCCCTCCCTTTCGGCCCTTAAAAATAACAAATAAAATATAAATAATAATACAATATAATGATAAACTCATTGGAGCGTGGCCTCCATGTACTTGATCCTCATAAAGGTTCTCATACTTTTATTCAGCGACATGGGAAAGTGATTGAAGATGTTCCAGGTGGTCACATGCTGACATTGGGATTCAAGCCAACAATATTTAAAACCGGAATCCAATGATCCTAGTTATGAGTTACAAAAGCGCAATTATCCACAATAAGAGGCATGCTTCTTTTTAAATTAGAATCCAAGTTTACAAGTAATAGGCTCTAAACTTTACCTTATACAACTGTGAATAGAGTGCGCAAAGATAATACAAAGTTTAAGTTATGAAAAAAATGTAAATAATAAATATGCTCAATGTTGTTATCATAGAACACCCACACATTTTAAATTAATTTATTTGTAAGAAAACAGTTGTCTTCTTTTTTAGCTCATGCTGAACAAAGTTATTAAGCAATTAACCATTTATTTATGTAAGTTTTTAATTTGAATTAAGCAAATATTTAACATTTGACATAAACAAGTTCATGATTTTTTTTCTTCCTTTTTTTCCCGTGGAACAACCCTTTGACATTGTAAATACCCCATTTTTTTTTAATTTCTTTGCAATTCCTTTCAGCGACTATTGTCATATCCGTTTTCGAGCACCCTTGTTTTCAGCTCTTTCACTCCTTTTGCTGGTCATCTTTGCCTCCTTTGTACACATACATACATACATATTACATATAGTGTTGGGCAATAGATATATCGTGTCAGTCGCATGTTGATTTTTGGCAACATGCATTCGTATTTATTTATCCTTTGGCATAACATTTTTATTGCATTCTAAAGCAAACAAATGACAATAAAAGCTTTTACGTATATTCATTCGAATAGGAAAGCGAGAGAGAGTGGGCATTAAAATGACACGAGAGTGCTCCCAAAAAAATAAAAAGAATAATAATAATGCTCAGAAAAAATAGTTATAAAGTCCAGAAGAATGCGGGGGAGGAGCAAAAAAAGCGATGACAAGATATTATCTACAAAACTCAAAATTAGTTGCCTAATTCATTACATCTAAGTCTTTCTTATTTCATTATATTTCATGGTAAGTTAACAGAAGGCTGGTAGTTGGGAAACCTTAAGAGCTGGTTTTAGCTTAACATGAGGACGCGATTTGGCTATTTCCCAAAACATTTGTATATTTTTAAAAAGTTAGCCAACAAATGGTTACTGTCCAACTTGCGTATTTATTATATAAAAAAGGTAAATATAATTTTTTTTCTTCAACACTTTTAGGTTTGACTAGAGCATACCAGGTTCGTGGCTTTCTCGGAACTTATTTAATTTGCTGCTACTCTATTCGCCTTTTTCGTTCTCGTTTCCATTTTCATTCGTGTCTTCGGCTCTGAGCTTCACATTCAATTGCATTTATTGACCGAGGAAATATTTTATTACTTTACGCTTGGCAAATATTAGTTGCCCATCGTCAATGGCGGGAATGTTTTTTTTTTTTTTTTTTTTTTTTTGGGAAAAGGACTTACAGCAGAATGAAACGCTGATGCTGTCCCTGTCCTGTCTTGGCTAATATATCCGGCCTGGCTTAAACCCACCCTTTATCGCCCTTCGCCCCTCTCCTTCACACTCTCACTTTGATTTCTTGGCAACGCTTTTTTTACTCATCTCGCACACTCAGAGAAATTATTGGGTCGTAAGCCCTGAAGCTTTGCAAATATACCAGGATGGTACACGGTGTTCGAAAAGCTTATTTCGAAAAAAACTTATACCTATTTTAGAAAAATCACATTAAATATTTTATTTTTATTTTGTTTTCAAAATTGAATTTATAGGTTGCGTTTTGTATTTTTTTTATCAATTTATTTATTTTGTCCTTTTTTTAATTCAATTTGTAAGTGTTTAAAACATCTCTTAAAGTAAATACTAATAAGAAATCATTTTTGCTCCAATTTGTAAGTTATTTGGAGTTCAAGGTTGCGTTGTTCGGTTTCTGGAAGTGTACATTTTTTCTGTTTTTTTAGGACTCGACGAACTTTGGCAAATATTTTGGTCATAGCCGAGATTTGCGTGCCTTGCCAATGGTTTTGTTTGTTCTGCTGTGTCCAGTCATCTTCCCCTCCCTCAGCCCCTTTCATCTTCCCTCTCCCCTTCCCCCCTTTCATCTTCCCTCTCCCTCTTTCGCCAGCCGAATGTGGGTAATTCGGTCATGAATATGCGAACAATTTCAGCCATTGTCCGAGGAGCATTTTTTGGGTGCGCATATTTGTCGCAAATGGACTACATTACGACATTACAGTTATCTTTTGATATGTGCTCGTGTTTGTGTGAGTGTATGTGTAGTACATCATATCTCATGGAGGACATTACGGCCCAAAAGTCGAAATAAAGAAAGCCGGAAAAATATTCCATAAAATATGTTTAATTTAGGGTGGACTTCAGAAAAATAACTCACTCCTATTTTGAAATATTTTATTTTTTTAGTAATACCTTAAACAATGCGGGTTGTAAGTCAACTATCCTTACATAAAATAAGCTTATTTTAAAACGTAAACTATTTATTGTAATTTATTTACAAATTGATATTTGAGAATTATGTTGAACATTATTTTGAATATAATGATAATGATAATGATATAATGATAAATATAATATAAAACTATTTTCGTTAAGAAGAATTTGCTAAATGCATATTTGATTTCACAAAAATATAATTCAATCAACAATAAGTCACTTTAAATAAACGATTTGTCAATGTCTATTTTTCATATTATTATTTCAGCTTGAAATAATTTCCCATAATATTCATGGAGAACGACCTTTAATTTAAGGAACAATTAAAGTCCACCCTGGGGCACTCTTCTGAATGTGTTGTGTGCATAAACAAACAAACAAAGGCCGCATAACATTAAAATGTAACACAAAAAGCCACAACAACAGCAGCAACAACCGTGGCTCATGTTTTGTGTTGTGTGATTAAAATTGAAATAAGCGGCGACATGTTGAACTTGAAAAATTCGTTGTGCGTTGCTTATGACAACAACAACAATAGTTATCATAATAGCAATATTATGAAAAGCAACAAAAACGGCGAGAAAGAGTGGAGCGAATCGTAAAATACCCTAAGGAATCTGAATTCACTTAAATAATTACAGGAAAAACTAATATTTTTAAAGGGTTCTTTTTTGAATATGCACAAAGCCACCTAGCGGAGATTTTCGGCAAGTATGTTTTATATGTTTTAAATTTTTAAATTTTTTTGTCAAAAAAAAATGCTCGGGAATTACAAAACATAGTTGACGAAATTGCTTTAATTTTTTCCACTTAAAAACAATCATTATAATTAAAAAAAAAACGAATTTAGATAAATGCAGAAATAGAAGACAATATAAATTTAAAAACGTGTCACCAAAATAATAATACCCTTTTATAGGGTATTAAAACGAAAGCACATGGCACAGATTGCAGTCAGCGGTGAGTGCGAGTGAGGGGGAGGCTTCGTGTGAGGCTGAGAACCCTTATATTATAGCCTTTCTAATGACCGAATAACTCATTTTGATTAGAAAAATCTTTGTCCCATAAACGATTCCCAATTAAAAACATTGTGCTGCTAACTTTCATTCAACTGGAATTGCTGCTGTTTCTTCTTCTTTGCCAGTTGCCCTTCTTCTTTTGGCGTGAGTAAGTGCTGTCAGTGACAAAATCCAGGGTATGCAGGGGTCTGATGGGTGCTCATTATTTGATTTCCCATAGTAATACCAATAAGAAATAATTTAGCTGTTGTTTGTAGTTGTTTTCCAATTTTTTTTTAGTAAATTATAAAGTATTTAAATTATTTATTGTTTGATTTATTTTTAATTTTAAAAGTACTTCCATTTCCTTTTTAAGTCCTCACCACCTGGATGAAAACTAAACATTTTCTCAAAGGCAACAGTGCGTATGAGTAATAAACCTTGAATAAGTTTTAAGTTTATTTATATATATATATTATGTATTAAGTAGCTTAAGGGTTATAATTCGCAATTTCTTTTCTAGTGTCCTAGCCAAAACTACCGCACTCTGCAAAGTGTACGGTATTCGAAAGCGTTGCACTTGCCGCTTACAAAACAAGCACACATACGCGCACGTGCGAGCGCGACAAAAAATCAAAACAACAAAATGCACACTGGAAACAGCTGCTTTGGCTTGGCATTGAAATCGAGAGAGGCCGAGAAGGAGGGAAAGAGGGAGAGAGTGCGAGAGCGGCGCCAATGCGGCCAATTGCCGAAGATTCCCGATTGCCCCCGAAGCGGCCAACGTGTAGCCGAACCGGTTTTTGGCGCTACATTGGCGCTACGTTGGCGCCTCAGTGCAAAACGAAGCACTGAAGGTGTCAGTTGGGCTCCCGACGGTTCTACTCTTTAGCTCCCACAGCCAAACACAACTCTCAGCGATTTTGACGCAAATTTTAAACGTACGTAAACCGGTGATTTCACAAAACGCGTTTCGAACAAAACAAAGACAAAAATAAAACACTATAAAAAACAACAATAGAACAGCAAAAAAAAAAAATGCTTAATAAACTTTAAACACAATTAAAGTGCTAATGATTTGGGATTTTTTCTCACAACTTAAAACTTTTTTTAATTGTGTTGTTCGTATTTTTTTTTACGTTTCTGTGCCATTAAATCATCTTTCCAGCGAAAAAGTGCTAAAAACAAAGTGAATATAATCTGAGTCGCTGGCGTTGCTGTTGTCATTGTTGTTGTGCTCAATTTAAACCTACTTAGCATATATTTTTTTTTTCGAGTGTGTGAGACCGCCATTGATCGTGATCGTGATCGTGTTCGTCATCTCCGCTTTTTCGCCTTTTCTTATTTATTTTTCTCTCTCTCTCTGGCTAATTAGCAAATCGATTGTTGTTTTTGCAGCTGATTTAATAGATTGATTCCAATTCCAAAATAATGTGCCAAGTGCTTAAGAAAATTCAGGAAACGTTTCAGTCTTCTGCATTTATTTATAGTAGCCTTATTTCAGAAGTTAAGAGAATGCTATTGAACTTCTATACGATATCATTTAATGAAATCATTTGTTGTGGTTGGTAAAAATAAAGCAATTATTCTACTTGGCTCAGAGTTTAAATACAAACAAATGTTGAAAACTATTTTTTAAAAACCTTACCCAATGCCAAAAACGTGAATTATTAAATGTATGTCTGACTGGATTCCGTTCTTTAAAAAAATGTGTGTTCAAAACATTTTAGAAGACTTTAGACGTATATTACATTTTTATAATGTCTTACAAATTTTAGTCATCCAAAGTTTAAGTAATTTTCCTAACAATTGGATTTAAAATATAGTAAATTATAAGTCAATAATTTTGCCTAGAATACTCACAAATTGTTGGGTATTTTAACTTATTTTAAAACTAATTTCTTTTTTGAGTTTTTTTATATTGAACACTTTAGAAAAAATAAAACTGATCATAATGAATTGAATACGAACAAACACATTTTGAAACTTTTCGAAATTATAAATAAAAGTATTTCCAGCTTTCGTAGTTTCAAATTATCTTGCTACATATCCAAAAGATCTACTATATTTTCAATGCCGAAATAAACCATAGAGCTTAATAAATGCATATGAGCCTATTTATCTTTTTTTGGCATTTGAAAAATATGTTACTTTACACAATAATCCAATTCTTTAAGTCTTTAGTATAAAAGTCAAGTTTTAAATGGGAACATAATTACAATGATCAGTGTTGAGTGCTCCACTTTGTCGAGCAATTTCCTTTGAGGCTCTCTGTTTTATTTTTTGTTTTGAGGCCGACCCGTGTAACATCATCTAATATACATGGCTAATAATGCCTTTTCTTACGCCTCCGAAAGTGAAGGGGATTCCCCCTGAAACCACCCACATATCGCGTCTTGTTTGGCGAACTATAAACATTAAATAACAATAATAAACAGCAACAAGAGCCGGGCAGAAAGTTGAAGCAGTTTGTCTAAGTGGCTTGGGGCTTTGTCAAAGCATATAAGAAATAATACAATAGAAAGTATATAGAAGCCACAACAACAGCAATAACAACAAAAACAACAACAGCAACAACAATGGCAACTAGTACGTCGCAGTTGTTGGCTCCAAAACACGCAACAGTCCGTCAGAATAAAGTCAGCCATGCCCACCGTCGTTAGACCACCCCTTTGCATCCCCCGGAACATATATATATATATATATATGTTTTATACCCTAACTTTCATATATACATATGTTCCCCTCCAGTAACATCGCGTGTTCCGGGGACCCCAGCATGAAGGACTCTCGCCGGGGGTCAGGGGTTTGCAAAGGGGCTTCAAACAGCAAGGGCTCGAAAGGCTCCCAATCTCCACTTTACACAGCAGAAAACCATATTGCTTTCAGATCAGATATTATAAAATTAAGTAATTCGCAAAAGCAAGATTCTTAATTTCATCACATTTATTTGACTTTTATCGATTCATATATATTGTTGTTGAAGTTTATTGCAACCCGATATAGTGTTTTATTTTCAAATCTCTTATTATTTGGTACACATCTATAGCTTACGGCCATTGCTTATGTGTGTTTTACGATGAGTACCCTGTTTGGATTGGGAAAATCGCAATCTAAAAATAATAAAAGTCTTTAAAGAGTATACATTTTAAATTCAATGTAAAAGTAAACCTTTTTAAGCTATAACTTCTCTAGAAATTTATTAAAATAACTTTCAGAATATTGAGTTAAACTATTTAAGCTCTTTAAAAATTAAAATAATATAAATCAACAACCATATTGATGCATTTAAGAGAGGCAACACTAGCCTTTGCTTAGAAATAACGTCATGTCACTTAACCAGATAAAATGATCTGCTTTCAATAAGCGAACAGCCAGGATTTCTCTCAGTGTACACTCAAGCTCTCGTACTTATAAGCCTATACCACATAAAGTACAATTTTTTCTATAACAAAATTTTCTATATTTTTTTCTACATATTTTGCTTGTGTTTTATTCTTTATGTTATTTTCTTCGCCACTGCCACCGCTGTGCAACGTTCCCGTTCCCGTGCTCGTTCTCAAACTCGATCCCGTACTCGCACCCGTACCCGTACTACTACTACAACCCATAACCGGAGAGTAGGTCAGGTCAGTATGTGTTACTATTTAGTCATAAGAGGGGGGTTCCGGGGGCCCGACTGCCCCCCGCGTGTGCGGCAGGCTTATTAATTTACTGCGACTTTTGTTTCGCTGCATTTCAGCGGGAAAGTCGGAAAAGTCCGCAAAGTCTTGTGGCTGCCGACAAATCAATCAGGAAAACTTAAGGGAAACTGATTGAAATGCGGCAGGGGAACATTTTTGACACTCGTTGGGGATAACGATTTTATTAGTGTCATTGTTGTTTGAAACTAGTCGACATTTGCATTAATTTCTTAAATGTATGCGGTGAAATTAAAAGTTTTGGTTAAAGTTTGTTTTAATTTGCATAGTTCAACTGCAAAATATTTTACAAATCCTTTAAAATAAAGTCAATTCAGGGCAAGGAAAATTTTTGTTGTATAATTTTAAGACTTAACAATAGTTTATTTATTATTTAATTAAGCCAATTGTAAATTCAAAGGCAAAAACGCAGGTTGGTTTTTCATTGTTTCACTTTTGTTGTTTTTTTGTGGAGAAACCCATTCCATGTATTTGAGTTGGTCAGTTTTCAGTTTTTCTTTCAGGTTAAAAGTTTTATTGGATGAACAAATTGTTGGTCTTTATGGATTATTAAAAAATTCGAAAAGATGTTGGTAAGAGAGAAATAAGTAATAAGTATGCCAACAATTTTAGTTAAAAGTTTTTATTTCTGATCCGAGCTTTGTATTGTTCAGAGATTAAAAAAAAAACTCCAATGAACTTTAGCAAATTCTTCCGATTCTTTTAACAAACTAGTGAATCAATATTTGAGATGATGAAGAAAAACTTTGAGCACCAAATTTTTTCTATCCGACATATACAGCCTATATAACCAATTTAACAATTAACCCATCTATCAAAGTCATGGGTATGATCCAAAACATTTGCAAACTATGACCAAAAAATAATTTGACTACCGATCGATCAAAATCAATTAAATGCTGTTAGAGTCGAAAAATGCTTGAAAATTATATCGCTATTATGCAAAACAAGTCGCAAAGTTTGAATAGCATGCGAAACTTTCGCAACAAATAATTTCTATGAGGCTAAGTTATATTCGATTATCCCCCCAGCCCACACGCAAATTATTTGCAACTTTTTTTTTTGCTTGGAGAAATTTAATTTGTGTGCGAGAAACGTGAATTTGTGTGTGGGGGTTTGCAGAAAGTTTTTGCTGACTCAAACAATTAGCTGCGATTGAAAGTTATGCCCAGCCAGCACAGAAGATAATTGTGTCTGAAGGTATTCGGTGGTTTTCCTCCTGAGCTGTAAACGTATTTTAATAATAAAAGCCAGCAAAATGTTCCCCAAAGCTTCGCAAGCCGCAGAAATATCCAAGGAAATAGGGGAAAATGGGGCAAGACAAATCGGCAAAGCGCAACGAATACAAAAAAAAATGAAACAAAACAAAACTAAAATCGAGAGAAAGGCGAAAAACAAAAGCTCCTAGCGCACTTTTGGTTGCTGCGACTGTCAAGCCAAATGCACAGAGACAAAGGCCAAAAGGGGGTAAAAGAAGAGTGAAAAGGGGTGAAAGAGGGGTGAATGAGGGGTGGAAAGAAACCGAGGACGATGGAGGGGTTTGAGCCATCTGAGGTGGAAATGTTGCCAGCCATGTTGCACATCCTGGCCGAAAAACTAACACCAAACTCTGGAGAGTCGACCATCAGGTATCCAATTTATTGTCCGAATCTCTTACCAATTTTCACAACATTTTTTTTCAAAACAAGAAAATCAAATATTGCAAAACCTCTATTGTTTTTTTAACTATCGTGTTGCAAAGCTTTTGCCAATAAACACTTTTAAATTCAACTTCAACGCCCAGCAAATTTATTCTTAAACATCTATGAACTTAAGAAAACAGTCAAAAGTCTTTAGGGCATTCAACATATAAAGCTTTACATAAACTTTAAAAATAATACAAAAAAAAAAAAAAACAATGATACAACATTTTTAAACAAAGCTAAATAAACGCAGTATACGTACATATGTACAAATACAAAAAATAACCTTGCAATGATGTTCAGGCAATGATTTCATTACTTTTGGCTACCTTTGCAAATCATAGGTCATTAATCTTAGTTTATTATATTTTCAAAAGCCAGCTTTATAGCGTAAGCTTGAGGTAATCGTAAACAGGAAGTACATATATGATGGGAAAGGCAAAACTTAAATAAAAGCTCGTGTTTTCTGAAATATATAATCTGATTTTTCTACAGATTATACTTTTTTTTATTGTTTTATATACTTTATATATATTTAAATGTTACTTATAAATCGAAA